TTGTGCTCATTCACTCACAAGACTTTTAACTTAGAATTTCAATTGAGAGTATATGATTATGATCCTCATATTAATATTTATCTTTTGCAGAGACCACTGGGACTGTGAAAGAAATCCTGCCTCACTGTCAAGAACATACCTGCTGGACACTGGACTTTTATCAACCTCTACCTGTAACTCTATCTACAGTTTAGTTATACCAACTTTGAAGATTGATTTTTAAGCTTCTACCTACACTATAAAAAAAGTAGAAAACAACTTTAGAGTAATTATAATCCTTGTAAAAAGACTAGTAGACATTTTTGTTTTGCTGATTTCTCCCTTTGAAACATCACACACAGCTTACCTGTAGTACATTTCACTCTACAGAAAGAAAGCACAACATTGCCTTTTCCATTTTCTGTACAAAAATAGGACATATTCCTAACAATCATGATGTGACCAAAGTACTTTCCCAGAAATCCACTCTCATTAAAATATTGTCATACTTAAAAAGAAAAATTTGTGAAATGCCTACAATGTGTTTTTGGATATTTTGTTAACATGAATAATCCTGCTTGTTATTTCATTTGTTACTTAACAACCGGAGACAAACGTATAGAATTTGAGGTAAATCAGAGTCTAGATTTGTATGCTTTTTGTGCCTTTCGCAAATTCACATTGTTAAGCTTGGTTTCACGTACATTACATTTGATATTAAATCGTTGTTCGACTTCAAATTATGCAAAATAGAAATGGCTAGGTGCAGAATACTGCAATTAAGCAACGACCACGTATTATGGTTCACTTGTAACTGGCTGGACGTTTTATCACATAGATGAGAGCTTAATGGTGACTAGATTGACCTGACTTTTCTATTATGCAAACCTAAAATGGCTGGTTACGCATTGCGGCATGCAGACCCCATTTTTGAAAGAGTTTATAAATAAAAGCCAACTCACAGTCAAGTCCGATGTTCTCTTCTCTTGTAGACAGGTAACAGGTCCTTCAGAAACAGGTAGATACACCTGGAATAATAGTCCTAGAGTGTGGACAGGTACACAGGATAGCTGACAGGTCCCACAGCACACACAGGAGACAGGTCCCACAATGTCAGCTGTACATTAGCAGCATCTCAAGCCTAGGTTGTAAAAGAAATACACATTCAGAAAGATCACAGGCTAAATACTAAATATAACAATTACTCACAGAGCATCATACATTGCAATATTCATATCATTTGTTTGAGATTTAAATAAAGTGCTTTGGGTCGGGGGCAAGAGCAAATTCTGAGTGAGTGGGTAATAAAGAGCAGAGCAAAATTGCTTTCAACATTCAATCAAAAGTCAACATATTATTAGGAAAACATATAATATCAAGACCATGGAAAAATCAAAGTACATCTCACATAAAATACCTCAGAACAGTCACCAACAACACACAATTCTATTCAAACGTCAGTTCAACAGCATTCAAGCACATCTTATATTGACAGAACATTATGGGAAAAGATGGCTTACATAATGCATATATAAATCAGTAAAAAAATTAGAAAACAGAGGAGGAAACGAGCGTATCTAATGTAGTCATTATGGTAGTTCAAAACGGACATGAAAATAGCGTTGCCGACCGGCGGCTTTTGACTAAGTGCAGGTTTAAACACAGGGAATCGTCACCGGCGCAACTAACTTACACCATTCTGGGTTTAGCTGAAGATACCGCTGCCTTGTTTCTCTTCCTTAATACGAGATGGGGTTCGCGAAGGCCTCCATCCCGTGAAAGGCGTGTAAAGTGCCTTTCTCAAGGGCACAAGATCGGTGACATGGCGGGGTTCGAACCCGGGACCTCGTGGTTCTGAGCCGAACGCTCTGCTGTTGCGCCACACGCCCAAAGAATTGCAATGAGTTCGGCCCAAATAGTTACGAGAACCTAGAGGACAATGTTTAATTCGACTCACCTCCTTAAACGGACGTAGCTCGTCTTAAAAGACGAATTTTTAAACCGCCGAGTTCTTCCCTGTCCAAGCACCGTGACTTGCCATCTTGCTCTGAGCAGCAGCGTGGTCTTACCACCTGATACGGAATCACCATAATTTGCATTTTCTCAATTAGATAATTAAGTTGCCGTGTTGATTTGATCATATGGATGGCATCCAGTGGAAACCCCAAAACTGATGCGATCGTGCGAATAAAAAAAGTTGACCTTCATTCTGAAATCTAGGTGGTCGTGAAGGTTGAACAAATGACTAAACACACAAAGTAATATTTATTAGGCACGTTGAATAATAGACTCTTCATTTTCATTCCTTCACATTTTCTTCTCTTCCTTCGGAATGGATTTTGGCATTCTGTGACATAAGTATCGTTTTCCTTTTTTTCAGTTTATGGCATATATTTGCTAATTTTGCAGCTGCTTTGTACGATTTACAGTATGGCGAAAAAATTTATGCTGGTCTATCCGAAAAAAAAAATTTAAAAAGGGGAAGTGCAGAGGCGCGTATTCAATAAACCTGATTATTTTACGATGTAGACTTCTGTCATTTGCAAGATCTATAAAAAGGACAAACACCTGTCCTGTCGACTTTGCACTGGTCTATGGTTTGCTCCCAAGTCACTCTTATCTTGACAGAACACCCATGGCCACGTCCGAAATTTCATCAGGTTGTTCCATGTCGGCTCAAAACCGTCAAAATGACACCGCTGTTCCAAGTCTGGTCTTAGGGTTTCAAATCTTCCTCACCCTATCAGGTAATAGTCTCCACCAGACTTCTTTTGCGGGCTGAATAAATCGTAGAAATCGGCCTAAAAAGGGTATTTATATATATAATTGGCAAGAGAAGGTAGCCGACCAGAGAAGCCGGCCTTCTCTGGTCGGCTACCTTCTCTTACCCGCAAAAGAAGTCTGGTGTGGAGAGTACATCTGTTCCTTTTGTCTCCATCCATCGTCGGACTGTACGTGACCGCGACACGGTCTTTAATTTAACCATGTGCAATTGTCGTGCAATAAAGTTCTTCTTTAACGCTGCCCAGTGGCGGTTGACGGTACTGCAACCACTGGCCAACACTTCCCACTGATGCACCTGACCGTCACACGGTCTTAATTTTAATAACGCCGCCCAGTGGCGGTTGAAGGTACTGCAACCACTGCCCTTCACACCGCCACAATCGGACTGCACCTGACCGTGACTCTGACTTTATCTAATGAAAGGCTTCTGCAAACTCCGCATGAAGGAAGCAGGCGGCGCCCTCTGAGCAGATGTCCACCTGTCTCTTGTTGCACCGTTCACCTGTGTTATAAGTTTGTTTGTTTGTTTCGCATAACCGGTAAACCAGCTTTAGGTGTAACACACCAGTTTTGTACATGTAAGTACAAGCTGCGTAAGACCGGACTGTAAGGTTTGAGCCACTCACACCGGGAAGCACCCCTACTCTTTTCAATAAGTGTAGTGGATTCTTTGACGTGTCTGGGGTGTGGCTCTCCCCAAACACGGGATCTCTATTTAACGTCCTATCCGAGGGACGTCCCTAACTGAAGCTAGGTACTCATTTCCACCTGAGTGATGTGAGGAAATTCGTGTTAAGTGCCTTTCACAAGGGCACAAGATAGGTGACATGGGCAGGATTCGAACCCGCGACCTATTGGATATGAGCCGAACGCGCTACCGACTGCGCCACACGACCCCACAAGTTAGTGAGTTACTGAGTGAAGATAAAGGTAGCCATTCTATAGTTTGCTCTTTCTTAAGACATAGTAAAAAAAACACACAGGTTCAAATAGCAGAATGGTCTGTTTAGTTGTAAAATACACTGTATTTGTTCTGTACAACTTCAACAACATTGTGCACGTTTACTTTACTTGTCAAATCTTAGCTCCAGCCTTGTTACTCCTGGCTATTGGCACACTCTTAGTATCATATCATTGTTCAAAACTTCAGATATCGTCACATTAAATCAAGACGTCATAATATTCAAGTACATTGCAAAATAGAAATGTCCTTATGTGGGGAAAAAAGGGGTAAAGAGTCAATCTTGCAACTAAAATATGCTTCATACAAGACTACTTCTCTTGTATAATGAAAAGCACATACAAACAATAGAAGTCACAATGTCATTTTCTACACCAAAACAGACCATTGCTTTCTCTTGGTCTGGTTAAACTACTACTACGGGTTTTAAAAGTTATTGCACTTTTTCTGACTTCGTACAAAAGGGCCCTCACTGAATTTTCAGGAGTAAACAACGCTATCTCAAAGGAGAGTACTCTCACTTGTGTACATAGTTTTTTTAAACTAATTGTAGAGGCAAGAGGGGGGAAGGGGGTACGTCTCAAGTTTCACATCAGTAACATAATGAACCTCTAGACTGGAAGTTGTGAAAGATGTCAAAACAGTTGACTGAGTTTTGACAAGGAGATTCAATATTGCAATGGCAAAGAATGACATTATTTCATATTGTAAGTGCAGTGTGTTTTCTGTCTTAGGGCAAACTTATGTTTACAAGTTAGTATTGTCAAAAGACACAAAACTATCTTTCATTTCTAATGTACTGCTATTCTTGTGTTTCTTTCAATTGTATTGTTTTCATACTTGTTCAGGCATGTTCTTGATGAGAGGGCTTTTATAAACATTTTCCTTTTTGCCTAATCCTAATTCAACAAATTTGACTTAAAACATCTACATCATACAATGAATGACTAGTGCTGTGTACCTAAACCCACGTCTAGGTTCAGGTCCAGATTCAAGTCTAGAGGTTTAGGTTCAGTTCCGTAAGTCTCGTAAGTTCGGACCTAAACACATGGCATATACAAACTTGAATGTTGGCCACATAACATGGAGGCCGACACTTGACAATGCCAATGTTTTCTTCATTTTGCAGCACAGATTTTCCAATCTATGGAGGGTTTTAGGTGGTTTTGAAAGAAAAGGGGTATATGTGACATTTTTTTTTTAATAAGTCCGGAATTGGTTCTTGACTTGTAGGTTTTTTTTTACTTAACCTAAACATTTTTACAAGTCCAGGAAAAAATCGGTTCTTGACTTTGAGGGTTTTTTGGACTTGAACCGAAACATTTTTACAAGTCCAGAACCGGTCCAGCGAACCAGTACACAGCACTACCTATGACGACTGTGACAGCAGCGTAACAGCTCCTAGTTTTTCTTCTTGCTGTCCAGGTTGATTTCCTCCGATATGGAATGTACTGCGTCCACGAAAGCTTCCACGTGGTCAGGGTCGATGGTGGGGTAGATCCCGTGGCCCAGGTTTGCGATGTGCTGCTGCGTCCCGAACTGTTCCAACATTTCTCTTACTATGGTCCTGATCTCCTCCTGGGTGTAAGGACAAAACAACGTGGTAAGATCACACCTATCTATTTTCTTGGTTCTCATAGATTTTAAGGTAAAAATTATGTACATTTCTTTAATGATGGCCCTGATTTCCTCCTGTGTGTAAGGATACAGAAACATGGTAAGAGTTAGACCACATCTATCTACATGTACTTTCTTGGTTCTCATACAAAAAAACTAAGCCTTAAACATTTCCCTAACAACAGTTGTGATTTCAAGTTTGTTTGCATGTAAGTTATTATTACATTTGTACAATATTATATCTGTTTATCTAATCATTTGACTCTACTGGGTAACTGGCTCTTTCCATATACTTAAATGCCAATTTTCTATTTCAAAGATGGCCGATTGGGCAAACATTTTGCCTGTCATTAGTAGCAAAATTCTGTCAATTAATGAAGAACACTGGCTAGAACACTGATCATGACAACACAAGTTCCAAACATGACAGTACGGTACCTTAGAGGCATATAAAGCACCAGGGTCCATGTTCCCCTGTAAAGTCACCTTCCCTTGGGTCTGGTGTCTGGAAAAGGGATGGAACAAGAGGAACAGTGAGCAAAAACAATACAATTCCACTGAGTAATCATAAAGTCATTCCTTGGAAATTGAGCAGGCCCTAACTAATAGAACAAGCCTATAGCTACATGTATAATATGTGACAAGCTGAATAAAAGTTCTAGAGAAGAACTATACATCTCTGACTGTCAATGCTGCAGTGCAAAAGCAAAAATGTTGCTTAGCTTAAGGAATAGTCTGCTCTCTCTCTCTAAATATATATTTCTATGTCAATAGATAGAAGCTAATATTTGTTTTGCATCACCAATAAACCACCTTTAGGCATACCAGTACCAGTTTTGTACAGTAAGTACAAGCTGCACAAGACCAGACTGTAAGGTTTGATCCACTCACACACGTACACCAGGACAGACCCCTACTCTTTATGCTAAGTAACTCCTGACTCGGGTGTAGGGACTGACACAGTCATCAAATCTGTATCTGTATCTATACATTAATCTGTATCTGTACATGAATCTGTATCTGAATGTGAATTAAGATCAGGACTGATTGCCATAGATGCTAAGTGCAGTGTGTCCTGTCAACCTACCGTGCAGTTTTGGGGTTCACAGTCCAGTCTAACCCCACTACTTCATATCCACTCTGGGCCAGGTCCTCTATGGCATAATGGGCACCCTTGGCAAATATAATCTGAAAACACAACATGATATAATTAAAAAATTAATGACTTATGTACAGAAACGTGACTTGGGTCTAGCTATATACTGGTATCTATGGTCCTACGAAATTCATAAACACGTAGTCATAACAAGTCCATAGACATATATCCTTACAGCTATACATATACTTAAAAGGTAGATGTAATCCAAAAGCTAGCATGTCTTGGGCACGGTATTGGAAGACAGAGCCCATCCCTCTCCTTTCACTGCCTTTTACATTCCCAAATAAAGTTAGGTACCCACTTTACACCTGGGTGGAGTGGAGAAAACTGTACATGTGTAAAATGTCTTTCCAAAGGACAAACATCTGGCCAGGAATACCAGGAATCAAACCCATAACCACTGGTATTCCTGACTAGACATTGTGTCCTAGGGCAAGACACTTTAAACGAGTTTCCTCACTCCACCCAGGTGTAAAATGCACCTATACCCTGGGAGCCAGACTAGTATCAGGCTGTTAGCCATTTTCCTTTTTTACTACAGTAATAGGGCCACCCAACTCCCCTCAGGCTTAACTCCCCCATAGCAATAATTTAGATAGGCGAAGGAAGGGCTCTTGACTGCCAAAGGAAAATGGCCCAATACTTGTCTGGCTCCCAAGATACTGCCCCTACAGTCTCAGACTAAAGGGCTTTAAATTTGGGACTACTTGTAGTGAATCTGCCCAGTTTGGACCCACCATGGGTACAGGTTCCTTGCCCTGGGCCCGAACCTTCTCCTCCACCTGCCTGGCGATGATGCTGAGGTACGGGAGGGCGAACGTGTGGAAGGTGCGGGGACACAGGTGGCCGGCGTGAGACTCAAACACCTGCAGCAGCTGGGCAGGTGAAAAAAAAACATCACTTGTTACTTTTTGTACATCTTACTGTAGGGAAATGTGAGACAAGGACTTGTAAGTACATGTACATGAGGTACGGGAGGGCGAAGGTGTGGAAGGTGCGGGGACACAGGTGGCCAGCATGTGACTCAAACACCTGAAGCAGCTGGGCAGGTGAAAAAACATGATCACTTGTTACTTTCTGGACAAACTTACTGTAGGGAAATGTGAATAGTTTCATCAGGTTTATAAGTCACTGAGTAAGGAGACTCTTTCTACAAAATAAAGTCTTTGAACCTAGTACCTGAGAAAAATGACAGACAGTCACTGAAATGTCGGCTGAATACAAGACTTGGTTGTGCAAAAAGAGTCTCTTTACTCAGTTACGGTAGGGAAATGTAAGGCAGGGACTTGTAAGTACATGTACAAGACATGAGGTATGGAAGGTGCGGGGACACAGGTGGCCGGCGTGAGACTCAAACACCTGCAGCAGCTGGGCAGGTGAAAAAACATCACTAATTACATTGTGTAGTAAATTCAGAACCATGAGGTCCCGGGTTCGAATCCTGTCAAAGGTGTGGAAGATGTATCACTTATTTCATTCTGACAAGTGCAATCTTAAAATACATTCACAGAAGTGCTGTATTAAAATACATTATGAGAAGTTTAAAAGCTACTGCAGAAATAAGAAGTGGTGACAACTGACAGGTGACAAGTTAAGAGTCAAATACTCCAGAAGTTCTTGAAAAGAATTCGTTAATGGACATAATATCCTGACCACAACCATTGTTCTAAAACATTTTTGATGATGGAAAGGAAATTACCACACTTCTTTTCTTGAATATACGAACAATCAAGACAGATCTCACCAGAACTCACTTATCATAGGAAGCCGGAGTTAGAAACTCTTCAAACTTTTACAACGAATTCTCCCTTACCTGTGCGCCTGCGATGACCTGGCCCACCAGATAGTCTATGATGACTTTAGTGAGGATGTTTAACAGCTGATGACTGGCCTCCTCATACTTGTACAGCCACTGTTTAGGTTTACTCATGCTCTCAGAACCCCCACCCTCGATCATGTAGCACATCAGTGTCCACTGGAAATAAACATATCAATACATGACCATACTGTAACTCATATAGTGTTACCAATAGTAGTTTGTAGTAATAATTGTAAGATAGTTTAGGTTTGTAGTATTGTTGCCTTACTGCCACACATTGTACCATGTACCATTGTGGAGCAATAAAGTTCATTTATTCATACACAGTCACTGATTAAAAGTAGTGGATGCTACTTGAAATGTCGTACAGTTTTTGAAATCTATCCAGTTACTTGAGTAACTGTTTTCTTGTGCACAATGTATCTCACTGCCTGGATGTCTAACCTTTATCAATGTATCATACAAAATGGTTTCATGTTAACTTACTAGTGACCAAAATACATGTATCACTAATAAGTAGGTTAGTGCAGGTATAATCGGAGCTTTGCAGGTATTTTTCATATCTAGCTGTACCCAACCTGTACTGGCTCATGACACATGTGTGAAACATGGCCAGTAATAGCATTTTATGCTTCATATGCACCCTAGAAGCAGACAAAAAGATTCAAAATGGCATTGCTGACAAACTTATGTCAGAATTGCAAGGGTCTTTATGGAGACTATGGCTGTAGCTACATCAGATTAATAACTATGAAGAGATCATACTTACTGGTGCTCCAGAAAACCCTATAAGAGGCACCTTCCCCTCCAGCTTGTGCCTAGTTAAAGTGATGGCATCGAACACGTAGCCGAGGGTTTTGTTTACGTCCACATCCTTGTCTAGTTTGGACATGTCCTCTGGTACCTTCAGTGGTTCAGGAAAACTGGGGCCTTTCCCTGGCACCATCTCTACTGTCATACCCAGGGCCTGGATTAACAAGACACAGTTAGAAATATTGTACAAGAATTCAGTGGGCACAGCACCAGATGTATCTGAGCTCTGCATTGAAACATGCCTGTCCTCGGTGCTGAACACAATCCACACACAGAGAAACACACCTGTCCTTGGTACTGAACACCATCCACATAAAGACAAACCACCTGTCCTTAGTGCAGAACACCATCCACACAAGGTAAACACACCTGTCCTTGGTACTGAACACCATCCACAAACAGGCAAACATGCCTGTCCTTAGTTCTGAACACCATCCACACACAGGCAAACATGCCTGTCCTTAGTTCTGAACACCATCCACACACAGGAAAACACACCTCTCCTTGGTGCTGAACACTATCCACACACAGGCAAACATGCCTGTCCTTGGTGCTGAACACCATCCACACACAGGCAAACACACCTGTCCTTGGTGCTGAACACCATTCACACACACACACACACACACACACACACCTACAATTCTTTAAAGTTAGAAGAAAGCACTTTGTCTAACAATCCTAAAGTCTTACATGCACTCAACACAAATACAAGAGGGATAAAAACATTGAACATATCATATGTTTACCTGCGGCACCACGAGAATGTCTGAGAAGATAATCGCAGCGTCCAGCTGAAATCTGCGGATGGGCTGTGGGGAAAGGTCAACATCTATCAGTGTAAAGTCCAGGGGGGAAGGGGTCGAAGCATGAAAGGGGTTGAAGTGAAGAAAAAGAGAAATATTGTTTTCTTATTAAACTCAAGGACCTGGATAAAGTATTCAAGAGTCTTATAATATATATATTGATATTGCAAATCTTGTTGTTTGATATTTGCTGCCCTGCATTGCACCTATTAAATTACGTAGCAAAGAAGTTTGTTTGTTTGTTCGTTTGTTCATTCAAATCACAAGACAAAGACACTGTGGAGGCTACATCCATAACTCCTTGGAAGGTTCTTCTCACCTGTAAGGTAACTTCACAGGCCAGCTCAGGTGTTTGACACACCTTGAAGAACTCATTCTCAGCTCTCATGGCCCGGAACTCTGAGGAATCACGAAAAACATTCAGCTTTTAGCAACAACACTACATACTGTACAGAAGTAGAGAAGTCCATACAATTCAGTCCTACACAAGTAAGTATACAAAGAAAGCATTCATATGATCATACACATGTAAGTACTCATTTCTAAGTGTTGTGGCGTTGTGTGGCACAATGATAGGACATTCACCCGGGAACCCATGGGTCCTGGGTTCAATTCCACCTACGTGCTCCTACGTTGTGCTGTTGGGAAAGGCACTTTACACAACCTTCCCCCAACGTGCCAGTTATTGCCGATTTTTGGGCAGATGGGATTATCTAAAGAAGTAGGCATCCACACTAAAACTCAGAAATAGGATAGAAGAAAGGCTGTCAGTAGAATATTCCTCAATCAGTGACGTTTTTATAAAGGTAAAAACACATACATGTACCTCCAAATTTTATATGTCTACTGTACATCTTGATCACAAAGTGACCTAGTTTTGCGAGAACACGAGACTAGGTCGAGACTTGTATGGATCTTCTGGCCTCTCCAGCCTCCTTGCGGAGTAGGGGTAGTAGTTCGGAGGTACGTGTTTTTACCTTTATAAAAACATCACTGATTGAGGAATATTCTACTAACTGTGATAAACACGTGACAGATGTATCTCTTGAAGAAGAAAGGCTGTATGTACCTGACAGGTATCTGCCCGCTTGTCTCATCACCCAGACCGGCACTCGTTCTGTCTTCTCACCTCGGGCGGCACGGAGCATCAGGTCATTCTTCAGCTCGGGGAAGTTCTGGAACAAAAGAAAAACGTGATGCAGTCAGTATTCAGTAACATCTAACACATGATACAGTCAAACCTGGCCAGCTAACCAGACAACCACCACCAGTCATATGCCACATTAAAACAGTCCCTTTCAAAATATAACTAAGGCCGTATATATGTAAGCAAGCAATTATTTTACTCAACCAGCAACCAGGTTTTTGTAGCCCCTTGATCATGAGAGCATCCATACTCCACTCAAAAACACAGCACTTATCATAATGGCTAAGCATTCAGAGCTGGACAAACATCATGGATCAGATCACCATCAGTTTGGCATTAGCCTAGACTCTATACTATCAGTATCACTATAGCCACTCAGACTATTTCTGGGGCCTGCATTATACGTAGGAGAGCTTCTTGGCTCTTGGGCTCTCCGACCCCTAACTCCTGAGCTAGACACTGGCATACAGCCTTATCACCGTGGGAGTTTCACACATTACAAACAGCTGTTTATATTCATAATCTCCAAGCAGATGTTGGGTGGAAAATGGTACATTGCCTCTCTAACAGTCACTCACCCTAAAGGTCTTTCAACTTCTTGCTCACCCTAACAAACAGCTGTCAGACAAGCCTAGACGGCAGGGAACATTACTAACACCCCAATGTTTGCTTGCAAGGAGATTTTACACTTATTCTAGATCTGTGCAATATATTTTGGAAGTTCTGTACCATATGGTATCACTGTTTTCCGTATGAATTGTCCGTATTTTTCACGACTGATTAAAGAAATGAAGAATCGCTCGATAAATAGCCGAATACCTCTTCTGCATTCCGACAAGACCACGGCCACGTGTGACATGATCAGACTTCATAATGAGTAAAGAAACGCTTTGAGTTACCGCCCCCCCTCCCCCCTCCCTTCCAACTATACATCTAATTTCTAAAGCTTGATGAATTCTGAGGGAACTAAAACAGATTTCCTCTGGGTCAAGTAAACCACAGCAAACGCCTGGAATACTGAAAATCCCTACGTTGCCTTGAAGAATGCGGTGTACGTGACATGTTAGAAAAGCATCGCTCACCTCAGCCGTATTCGCCGCCATCTTTGTTTTCGTAATCTGTGGGTGTCATTCGTGTGTAAATCGCCAGCCGGCGCTTCTGCACTGTGTGTAACATTTGACATTTTTGAGCAGATGTTGGGTGGGCAGTTGTAAAGTTTATTTTTCGGTTCACCGGTCTTTCTGACAGTTCTGTGGCCAGGAGGAGATTAGTGAATATGCAGGGCGATTTTGTGATGGCACCCCCCGTTACCTTCTTGTCTCCGAAACAAAATGGCGTCATAACGTTACTCGTAGAGTCGTACATTTAAGCACCAAGGACAGCACCATGAAACTTACTTTACACTCATCTTTACTCCCGCCAACACAAAAATCCCGATGGGTTACAAATGAAAACGACAGCAAGGCTCTTATGTTTTAAATACACGTGCCTGTACCTGTATCTATTCCCACTCTCATGGCCTGGCGAAACCGTGGAAAGTTCACTAGCCTCGTATCCGGCTCTATTCGAACTCTGCCTGGCCGTTCCGATCGTTTCCCTGACGAATATTTGATAGCGAAGTGGTCAAAAAAGGAAACAGGAGCTAGACTAGAGTGTATTCTAGCAATTTCGAGGTTCAGGGTAGGCAGAAACGTCACAAAAAACAACATAAACTCCACTGAAAACAACTGGAGTACAGCGCAATGGCGCAACGGTACAGAAGCGCCGACATGCGGATATAATTATCATTGCAATCCTTCCAGGCCGACAGATTTTGATTTCTTATCTGTGATTGGTTGATTTGATAATGTACCAAGAATTTTCATTGGTCCAAGTTGACCAATGGCAATGTAGCAATTTTACACGTACGGTGAAGTGTCCGGAGTGTAACCCCGAATGTCACATTTTGTGAAGTTAACCGATCTGTGATTTGTTGACTTCATCCAATCAGAATCGCGTTGTTATTTGTACTATTATTTATTAGCCAATCAGCGTCAAGTATTTTTCTTCTCCGTGTCAACGGATACCTGCGTTTTGCAAACTGACCACAAGGGGTCGCTGTGAGACCGTGAAAAACTCTTCTGAAATGGTGTGGCGAAAAACGCCTTTTCGAGGCATTCTGCGGCTTTTACCTCCAAGATACTTGTTGTACAGGCGGCGCAGTCGGTGAATAGAGTTGTATACATTCTATTCTAGCTTTGATTCACTTTCCTGGTCACTCTGAGGGTGAATTAGCAGCTAGAAGATCGTAGAATTCGATGGATACGGGACCAGTTGGGGTGGGGGGCGTGACCGCCAAATCTTGCGAGCCATGGCGACAAATATCCTTGCAGTTTAAACGGCTAGGTGTATGATGTGCTTCCTGCATTCATTTATAGTCCATATACAGTAGAATACAACTGTCATTGGTGCTAAATGCCTCCCACACACGGGTAGACAACTTGCCCCCGGTGCCAAACCGTTGAAGCGACCACAAGCAAACGTAACCTGTCCTTGGTGCTGAACGCCATCCACAAAATGTAAACACGCCTTTCCCTGGTGTTAATAGTCATGTTACCGCATCTGCACCTGGTGTTAAGGCCAGGATAAAAATTTGTACAGCGTTCCTTCACATTTACCAGTGTTTGTATGATGTTTTTCATGATTGCAATTTGATTATGCGTGTAAACAGAACAGAATATTATGCTAGTCCCCACCCCCTATCTCCTTGTCACACCAAACTTCCATCTTAGCCTAAAATCCAGGCTTGTTAGGACAGTTACCTGCTAAGGATACCCCTGCCTTGATGCACTGGATAAAACGCCATGACAGAGGACTGTATCCAAGCTACCAGTACAAACATCAGCCCCATTTAACCCTGCTATTTGCCCTTTGCGACCTTCCATGACACAAAGCAAAAATAACTCAGCAGATATCTTGAGGCACACAAACACATCCGCTGAAGGCTACCAGTGCTACATACACATACAGTATTTACATCCACTTTTAGCCCCCTTCTAACACAGAAAATACCAGCACATGTACTGAAGTAAAGTCTATGTCTATAAACATCTTCTTAAAATTAGAATTATTTCTGAACCCAATTTCACTATTACATTATAAGAAATCAGACAAAACTAGAACCTAAATGTACTAAAATAAAAGTGTAATGAGTTGGCAAATTTCTTGCATTTATTGATTTTGTCTGAGATCCCCCATATTTAATGTAGCAACCCAAACTATGCCAGGCTTCTAACCCAGGCTGTACATATGGCCCCACCTCACCCATGTAGGGACATATTTGGCACGATGGTTCACACAAGAAGGGCGACCGGACTATTAAGGGGACCAGGGTTCTCTCCTCAAAATTTGTCTGTTCTCTTACTTTGACAGAGGGAATGTACTCGAGTCCAGGCGAATGCTTTCCCAGGAAATTTTTAACTTTGTAACCCTTTGAAAAGCTTTCTTTTATTTTGAGGGCCAAATTCCAACTAGCTTTATCTTGACCTAATACAAAATAAACCAACTGGATATACTCTTGGGAAAGTCAGGTGTTTCAAATAGTGTGTTATCTTGTATCAGTGACTCAGACATCAGTGGTAATTTTGATAATTCATCCAGTTACTTGATTTATTTTGCATTATGTAATGTTATACCTGGATGTCAAACCTTCATCAGTGCTTTTATGGTACTGTTCACAACTTGATGAAAATGTCACAAAGTTTCCATTTTGTCCGTCAAGGGGGACGGAATGGTTGAAATTGTTGTCCAGGGCAGAATGATGGCTGCTAAACATTTCAAACCCTGAGGGGAACATAGCTAAGATGGTTTTCAGTCACCCACACGCCACATAAAGACATCCAACTCAAACAGCCACTTATTTCCGTAACATCCACAGTGTTCACTCTCATTTAATGTTACGACTGTATACCCAGTATACAAAAATATCATTGTTATCATTCTAACTATCACATGTTGACCACAGACACACACTGTACATCTACACTGCATCTTGGTGCATGTTTTATATACCTTATAATCATTGCAGCTTGTACTTGTACATGTTTTAAAGTCTCATGTACAGTACTTAATTGTACTAGAATTCCTCGTATTGCAATTTATACTGGTGTTAAGTCTCTGTACACTTGGCTTGTGTGAACAGTTTGGCCTACTGTGCAACTACACAGTATTTTAAACAATGTACATTAAACCTATATATATATAGCTTGCCTTAATTTGGCCTACACCAGTTGCTCCACTGCAGTGTCACCCTTATTATGGATCTCCGTCCAACGACCATACAAACGTCTATTCTGCAAAATATACTTTAAATGAGATGTTTCTTCCTTGACACGAACATTGTCCTTTCTTTGTGAAAGATCCGCGTTGGTCTTAAATCTGAAGTTAGTTCCGACACCATTGGCTGTAAGCTTTAAGACACATCCCAAAGCATAGTTCTGCTATCCACACATCTGCAGTTCCTATTAAACAGTATCTACGCTGGTAGACAGTCCCGTAAAATGTCCTTCGTCGACGGCGATAGTCCGTTGGGAAACTGGATGTCAAACTGTACAACAACGTTCCCTCGCTGGCTGGGCTGTTTCGGGAAGGGGAGTCCCTCCCCACGGATGATTTTTTTGGACGTAGGTTTGATAATGTCCTGACAGTGGATGGGGACTGTCCTGCCCTGGTCCAGGGTGGGGACTTGCACTGTACAACCAACCAAGGCCTGGGGAAAAGGAAGAAATGGACTTGTTACTATCATGTATAACAGGAGAAACATGATAAGTGTATGTTGTCATGCAATGTTCTCAAGGCAAATTTTAACTAACCAGAGTTCCCCCTAGATATTTAGAGCAAGGCTGTGGGACAGGTCTTGAGAGAGTTTAATTTGTCCAAAAACAAGCAAATTCTAAATTTAGCAAATTACTTCAATTTGAAAACTAACAAGATGGTACTAAGATTGAAGTAAGGCGGGGCAGCACCGTTGATATTATTTCTTTGCTAAGGGAGATGTTAATATACACACTAAGTTACAATCTTCCATCAATCAAATGGAACTAAGAATGTACTGCTGCGTAACGTGGAGCTATCTTTACTGTCCCTCAGCGACGCCTGAGAGCCTAAAATAGCGCCTGACCATCAGCTGGTGTGTCCAAAACCGGCCGGGCGCATCACCAGCTATGTCAGCTATGACCTAACCAGTCTGATCCAGACTGCCTGGCACGCAACGCGAGACGCTCAAGTCAACACCTATTTCCTGTCTTCTAACACAGATAGAACTGTGCAGCTTTTCAGATATTTTGATAAAAGAGCATGACTAAGTTGTTCAGACTTGTCAAAATTCATGGTCAACCTTGAAGTGTCCTCCATACGCTAAGGATAGCTTTCAGTGTTGTAATTTTTTTTTGGTCAGAAAGATTTGAAGGGGGAGAACAAACTATCTCTGTTTTTCATTTTATGTTTTTATTTACCTCTGTAGTTTCTTTTCATCAGAGGTGGATTGATGTACCAAGATGGGAAATTTGTATTGACATTTGTTTCTTGAGAAAAATGCAACAGCAAGGGAAAAACTATCGTAATTGTTGACCATCCTCTACAGTTTTAGGCTGCCCCAATTTAAATTGTGGCCTTATTTCTTAAATAAAAACATTATGCAGAAATGATGAAGTAAATTTCTACTTACATCTCTAAGAGACAGTTTTGCTGTGTAGATCAGGTTACTCCCATCTCTCTTGAAGACCGGGTGTGGCTTGTCCTTCAAGACAAAGACGATATCTGCGGGAATATGGCCGGGTTTCTGGTCACCCTCCTTGGGAAACGTGATCTTGGTTCCTTCCTTCCAGCCCTTCTTGATCTGGATCTCCAGAACCTTGTCTTCTCGCCGCGCGTAACCGTCCGCCCCGATCACCTGACGGTTGATTTTCATCTTTTTCGTGGTGCTGCGATAAACCTCGTCCAGCGAGACCATGAGGTTGTGAGTGATGGGGGGGTCCTGGAAACGTTTTAAAATTTTTGTTAACAGTATGCAATAGAGGAGACAAGTTTACACAGCACAAGATCACATTATTATTATTATTAATGAATGTCAACTTTGCCCTTTGAATTCACAGATTACTAGTACCTTCTTTATAATCATAACAACTGTGTCCTTTCTCTTGTTTCTGCATTTTTCTACATCATATGTTCCCTTTCCTACATGCATATTATTTCTTTACATATTCCTTCTTACACTGTACTTCCTATCTAGCAGTACTGCTAGTATACAAACGTGACTTGAGTATATAGTAGTACTAAAAAAAAACACATTGCAACTGTACACAATTATTTGCAACCTAAAAGAGCAACATGAAGAAGTGTAAATGTTTTTTGTAGTCTAACCTGTACTTCTTTCCTCATCCTTGTTGGCCCGTGCCCTCCCCCCATGCCTCCCATGTGTCCGAAGGAGAAAGGATCATCGTCAACCTCCATCGGATCCACCCCAAACCCGTCATGGCCTCTCCCTCCAGAACTGTGGGAGGAAAGATCAGGACTTTGTTAGGAGAGGGTTGTTAGTGATACAGACATTATCAAAGGTATGACATTACAGAAAATAAACATCTTACAAAAAATGACCTAAAAGGCAATGAATAATGACAAGAAAGGACTGTACCGGTAGTGAACAATGATATAGACAGTACTGAATAAAAGTACATGTATCAAATGAAAAACATGAATGCAGCAATGTCACAAAGCACCACTGAAAGAGACCATGCATCGTGTGAGGAAAGACAAACAACAATGGGCAAAGCAAAGTTTAGAAGGTCCTGGGTTCAAATCCCGTCTGTTTTCAGTCACCAGATCTAGTGCATCTGTTCCCTGTATGTTCGAAAAGTGTTCAGGAAATAACAATATCATGTAGCCCTGAATATAGCCTTTTTATGAAGCTAATAATGACTCAAGAAACTATTTTCTTCCCCTGAAAACTTTTGCATTGTCCATCTAGTTCGTGCTTGTAGGAGTTCCCACACATCTATTACTAGTACCTCTATCAAGCTTCAGAAACAGATGGAAAGAGTAGAAATTGGCAAAATAGACAGATAACATGCCAGGGGAGTTGGCCGAGTGGCAAACTGTAGTCCTTTATATTATATTATATTAGCAGACCACCTCCCCTGGTATTGTTACCTGTGTATTTGACCAATTTCTACTTCCAAGCCACTTCTGAAGCCTGGTAGAGGCTACACGTACACGTGCACAACACTGACCACACATCACATGACCAATACAGCACAGGAGTAAGGGTTAAAGCTGCACCTTTGAGTTTGAAATCCCCCAAAAGGGTGCATGTGTTGCATGTGTTGCATGTGTTGTCTGCCAAAGGGGTCGCCCGTTGAACTGAAAACCAACACGAGTCTGTTATTCTGTCCACAGCCCTCAATACACCGTACGCTGGACTCACAATTCCAACATACACTTCACAACATGTGAATGGGGTTTGTTTTGGTAAAAATTTAACTAAAATCACTCAGTGACTGTATTTAAGAGAAGAGTTTCACCTTAGCCAAAACCACATGACATAGCCAGTGTGTTACGCCGGCGGTTATACCGGCAGATACAGATACAGGTACAGATGACAACATCAAGAGTTGTCTACTTTGACATGTTATCAATGTCACAGCAACTGAACATAACTTTGTAATTGTAGTTTGAGAAAATCGGTTTGAAATCTGTTTTTGATTCCCAATAGAACAGAGGTATACAAACTTTGCAAGGAATGTGTTTTGAGGACTGACAACATACAGTAGTACGTCCCTGTCCAACCCACGTTTACACAACCTATAAGCTCTAACTGTGGATGTTTACACTTTCAGCACCACATGCAACACAGCCCAGTCCACTGTGGACAGACATGGCACTCACAGATCAACATTTCTGGAACAGCAAGCCATTTAACACTTACGCTCAGGCTAGTTAGCTGGGTGTGTAAAAATGCAGCTGCACCTTTGAATATTTTGTGCCTTTTTTTACCATGTTTGATATCATCATATCTCAGATACAATTTTGTTCATGATCAGTCACAGCACCCTCAAATTGACCATAATTTCAAAGATATCACAGAAGAAAGCCAAGTCAGCTAGGGCACAGCCAATGAAGCTATTTTTGGTCATTTGCAGTGAATAATCATAGGTTCTGAATAAGCTGCTTTTTTCTGTCCAGATCTAGATTGGACCATGGAGTTTAACTCCATGATTGGACAAATGACTCAAAGTGATTCAGAGTCTGAATGAAGCCCCTCCCATCTCATGTACTCAGTAGTGACACAGTTTGTCTAAACATATCCACAGCACACAGGGAATACAGACAAACCCTGGAAAGAAGCAGGAAAAAAATCCAGATTTTGCACCAGACAACCAAGTTTCGCAGCTGCTGATTGGTCAAGCCATGTCACATGACACAACAAACGGCTACAGCCACTGCTGCCCACAAATAACAACAACCAAAAAACAAAGCAACATCATTAAAACAAGCAACGACCTGCCATTCTTGCACAACAGCATTACATCCTCCAAGCTAATGTTGGGGTTGAAAATTGTGAAGTTTTACTAAGCAACGAGTCAACAAAGCAAATAGTACCAGGCTAGAAAACCCTAGTCTCTACCAGACTCCTTTGCAGGCTGGATAAATAGGAGAAATCAGCTGCCTAAAGGTGGTTACCATTGGCCAGGCAAATGGTCTGCAGGCAAATGGAGCTTCTGTGGGTGGCCAACTCCTCTGGCCAATGATATCCCCATTTTAGGCCAATTTCTACTATTTATTCAGCCTGCAAAGGAGTCTGGAGACTAAGAAAACCCGGCTAGACAGAAAACTTCACGATTTTCCACCCAACATCTGCTTGGAGATTGAGAGCCTGCGTAAATACATACCTAAAGAACATGCGATGGGATCCGCCATTACTCATGAAGGAGAACGCCTCAAAGGGGTTGGATGTTCCGAAAAACCTCTGGAAGGTTTCGTTGGGGTCGCCGTGGAAGGTGTATGTGTAACCGCCAGGGCCTCCGGTGCCGCCGCCACCACCTCCGCCACCCCCCTTCAGACCCTCCTCTCCTGTGGAATAAAGGCACAGGTCAGGGTCAATGTCAGGTTTTAATGAATATTCTTAATTAAACAAACAGCAAAAAGTTAGCTACTCTGGGGAGCTTTTGAGATGCACTAGTACTCTGTCTCTTCTTCAATCCAGTAAAGATCTCGTTTTGGAGTTCTTAATGTCAGGTTGATTGTTAATACTCATGTGCTTACTATTTTGGACTGAAGTTGAGCTGTTCAGGTGTTTCTGATGTCTACCTAAGATTAACCTGTCTTGCTGGACTCCGGTGTGTTACAGTACTTAAGTTAATGTTTTTATAGTTATACTACTGGTATATTACTTAAAGATTTTAAGTAAAAATAATTCTTTAGTCTTCTTTTCCGTGTTTTTTTTTTACAGATCTTGATATTACAGGAATATAAACACAGCATGAGCATGAGTGTTAACACAGTAAATTTGGATATCTTGAATCAAGGACATTACACAGTGTAATGCCCTTGCTTGAATGAGGGCCTGCAAGCCCTTTTTCGTAAGGCGTAATCAGGCCTTTTTAGCCTTCGTAATCCGTAGGCGGCCGTCCAAAATCATCGTAATTCGTAATCGGTACATTAGCCGTAACGCGTAATTGGTCGTTTTTATTCTCCGTAAAGCGTAATTAGTTACTTTTATGCGACGTAAATCGTAATCCATGAGATCATAAGAGCGTAGGCTGATTTCAAAATGGTCCAATCCACAACCAAAATTTAGGTCTCAAAATGCTGGAAATAGCGTTTCAGAGAGGTTAAAAATTCAAAATTTCCCGGGGGGGCATGGCCCCGGACCCCCCTAGCAGGCTCGCGCCTGCGGCGCTCGCTGACGGACGCCTTCGGCGCCCGAAATCTTGCCCCCCCCCAATCAAGATTTAAAATCTCGGTAGTTGTGTAGTGATATTGCCCCCGTTCTGGCAGGTGACGTGAGTGACTTGGGCCACCACTAGGACGCCAGTATCCACAGCATAATTTTATAATATTTATAAATGTTTCTTCCTCTATCGCCATGGCTCAGTGGTTATGAAAAGGTTCATCGTCACCTATCGCCCAGTGCCTTCGGCAGCCGCCGGTTCCGAACCCGATTTCGGGTGATTTTGGCACCCGCCAGAACTTCACTCCAAAAAAAGCTCCTGAATCTACCGCCTATGCGCTTATCAACACAAAGTCAATAGTTTTGACGTTGACGTAGAATTATTAGTTGCTGTGTTTTAGACGGTCGGGAATCCTCATGATTTAACGTAATTCGTAATCAGCTCTGAGAATTTAACGTAATTCGTAATCGGCGGCGAAAATTTGGCGTAATTCGTAATCAATACCCCCCCTTGCAGGCCCTCTTGAATCAATGTCAATATCATTAAGGTTCGGGCATGACTTTGGTTGCCTATACAAAACTATAATCCTCTATATTTTCTTAATTTACCATATATATTAGCCAACCAGTCTACAACAGATTTCAGACATAGCGATGTCATATCCATGGTGAATCATAATTTTAACCTCTGGCTGTTTTTGCGGTTCGTTTTAGAGCTACAATTTACATTAGTGGGCGGGGCGAATGGTGGAGGACGTTCCAGCAATTTCTGTACGGAAGTGCCACCAAGACATAAAATATATAGAAGAATTCGACTATATACATATTAGATAAAGACGCAAATGCCACTGTCAGACATCTAGCAGACCACAGAATGTATCAAACTAAACGATAATCATAATATATTGAATATTTACAAGGTATCAAGGTATTTAAGGTCAGAGCTGTCATCTTACTGCGTTTGACCTATTTTCATGGACCAATCTTAAGATTTCTAAGACACATATCTTAAGACATCCTCACCATACTGGTCGTATATCTCTCTCTTCTTAGGATCGCTCAAGACTTCATACGCCTCCGCGATCTCCTTGAATTTCTCCTCTGCCCCGGCAGACTTGTTTTTGTCGGGGTGGTATTTCAGCGCCATCTTTCTGTACGCCTTTTTGATCTGGTCCTCGTTCGCGTCTCTGGAAATGCCCAGTACTTTGTAGTAGTCCTTCCCCATGGCGGTACTATATTGTCCTACCTCTCACCGATTAGAAACACAGATTTCTTCTCGGGGATGATCCTCCTTGAATCCGAGGTTCGCTCGATCGATATTTAAGGGCGCCGATATCTGTCAGTCCTTAGTTACGTGCGGAATTCTCACAACAAAACCGACTTCTTCACCTCGAAAGCCGCTAGTTTTGTCTCTAGAACTTCTAGGAAAGTCCTGCGTTCGTTCACGGTTCCGTGGGCTTGTAAAATCGCCCGAAATCTTGTCTGAATGTGTCGGAAAACCTCTGTCCGACCTTTTATCCGAGCTCTGGAAGTGACGTATTTGGGAAAGAATCACCTGGAATCCCGCAGAAGTTTCCGGAAGTTTCTAGAACGTACGTCACATCCGGTTAGCTCTCGTTCTCGGGTGACCCTTACGGTATTCCCCAAGTTTTAAATATTGAAATCATTTCGGTTCACGAAGTAACTACATGTATTAAGAAAGTGTAAAATTATCGCATTGTTGACGGGCAAATTTAGATATCAAGACAAAATTCGAAGACAGTTCGTTTAAAAAACTGTCAATCATCTCGTTCCCAGGTTTGACGTTTGTTATCAATGGTGCAGCGACCTCCACCGGTGATGCCCATTATTGCAACAATCTACCCGGTGCAACCTGAACTTGGTGCAAAGTTTCGTCTCTGCTTTTGATCTATTCAACATATTACTTTTTCATTAGATCCTACTTACACAAAACCATTGTGGCTTTGCAGCTTCGGGCACTTGAAGTTTGTAACAAAATCTACCCATTCGAATTGCCTATTGAAACCACAGAACACACGTGCACACTCACACACTCCACACAAGACATAATAAAACCAGTAAGGACTGCACTAGCAATTAATTGTATCACGAATTTATTACCTTGAACTACTTATACAATTTGCTCCACTATTCCTTGACATGATAGCTTTCACAGATATGGCGATTGGTTTCAACTTGTTCACAAAGTTTCTTCGAATCCCTACAACATTTTCTTTTTTTTTCCATTTCATCGATCTTTTAAGAAAAATACCAAACAAAACCATATGCATCCATAGAGAAATGATATCAAAATATAAACAATGATGGGATCTTGCACAATACTTACAAGGGCAATAATCATAACAATAAATCTCAACAACCTTACAATGATAACTTGAAGAATAGTTTAGTCTCTACGAGGCTTTAGAAGCGGCTGGAGAGAGTAGAAATCAGCCAAATAGACTGAACATGTCATGTCAGAGGAGTTCGTTCGCTAAAAGAGTAACGTTGTGGCGTATGGACCCTCTCTGGCGAATGGATACTGTCTGGGCAATTTGATACTGTCTTTTGCCACCCTAGGATCTGCTTGGAGATAATTGTAAACTAATTTCTACTCTTTCCAGCTGCTTCTGAAGCCTGGTAGTGGCCAAAAAGTTATTCTTCTTTCGTGTGTTGCTTCGCGTGTTGTTTCCGTCTCTGTCACTACACATACGGGTTGTCCGGGAAGAGCAGGAAGCCGGTGAAGCCCACATACTTGCCGAACACGGTGGAGAAGGCGATGGCGTTATCACTGATCATCAGGTACACCTGCAGGGATTGTGGATAGATAACAGAGTTGTGGGTATATAGAGATTGAAGCTGACGTCAAAGAGTTTATTTATTAGTCAGTCCTTTGTGCTGAAGTGATTGTCAAGAACTGCATGTATCACATATATCTGACACTGGACCTCTCCTTGGTGCTGAACAGATCATCACCAACCATTAGTTACTAACACATACATCGTCTACATGCAACATACCCGGTCCAATTCGTTTGAAATCGACTGGTTAGTCACTTAAATAGTTAGTTCGTGAGCTAGCTAGTTAATTAACACAAATTATGTCCATGCACACGTAATGTTGAACGAAAAACGTGCAATATTGAAAGTTTCTACTTCCCTATACCCGGCCCTATTCGTTACCTGGCTGGTTAGTTATTAAAACCGTTAGATAGATAGCTGGTAGCGTTAAAATCTCCCCATACCTGGTCCCGTTCAAACAGATGCAGTACGAGGTTATTAGACGCGTTCCCCGGGCTGGGAGTGGGGTTGAGCGGGTCCAGGTTGTCCTCGTACACCCCCGCCATCTCCTCACCGTTCCGCCACAGGCCCAGGTACATCAGGTACTGCGCAGACCGCTTCTGGCCGCGGAACGAAAAGAAATATGTGCCTAGGGAAAAGAATGAAAAACTAGGAAGGTTACATTTGCAAAGCCAAAGCATATGTTTACATTTGCATATGGTCTGCTCTGTTAATTCGTACTCAAACCATGCTCAAACACATTCATATACATGTACATGGTCAGACAGCAGTCTAAATCCCCCCTGCTATAAAATTGTAACATGATGTAACCCAACACTTGGTAGTTACCAAGGTGACAGGGGTCTGGTTCAGGTCATTGGTCTTATTGGTTTCGATTAACAATATTTGACATGGATTTTGCTTATCGTACGAAGTTGTGTTGGCCAATGTCTATAGACATAGGCACCGCTTATACACCGTAAGGTTTTTGACTAACTTACCACTGACAGGGGCTGTGAATATCCCGGTCTCCATGTCGAACGCTCCTCCGGCGTTACTGAACATGAAGTCGAAGGGCAGGATGGTGTCGTTCGGCAGAGGGCCGATAGGTGTCGTCCGTGCAACGGAGAAGGCGACCCTGTGAGTGGGCGGCGACGGCTGGGGTGGGTACGGGTACGGGTCGACTCCTAGCCGCCTCGCTTCTCCCCTTACGTTCATGTCCATTTTACCTGTAGAAAAGAAATAGATGGTAGATTTGGCGCACACTGACGAAATCCTGTTCCAGAATTGCCTTACTGAATCAATTGCTTCCTCATGATAAGAAACAAAAAAATTGACAAAAAGCGACCTCAGAAGGGTATGAAAATGTAAACGAAGTTAAGGAGATGAATCGAGAAGTTTGGGGTATCACGATAAGAAAAATTGAATGGGAAAATTAAGCCTTCACAGTGTGTAGACCAACGTCTTTGTATAGCAAAAACTTGTGAAACAGTTTGTCATCGTGGCAAAAGAAAAAAGGGTTCCAACAACAGATCTAGACGACGCGTGAAATTTGAAATGTAACTTACTGTCGTATGTCAGTCGTCCGTCGCTGTTGGATCCGTCGTCGCACACCATCCGGCACTTCGGCACCGCGCTCGCCCGTGTTACGTCAAGCACAAGACTTCCTACGACCGCTAACACTACAACAACCGCAAAACGTGCGCGTAAAAACTCCATGTCTACAACAGAAGTGTACAGTTTAGACAGGCTGTAGCGCTCACTGGATGTCTACCTGAACAGTGGGACAGAACAAGTGAATCTGCGGCTTTTATCTGTGTCAGTCACAGTGTCCCTCTCACATGACATTCCCGACGGGGAGCCTACATGACAAATCACGAGACGTTCCCGTGATTTTAGCGGTATAATTTTCTCTTTGTTTCCTGGAGAAAAAACGTGACCTACTTCAAGGACATCCTTGTGGATTCTTGTCGCAAAGTTAAACAAACAGAGATTCCATTTAAATTGAAATACATGTATTCAAAAGTCCCAGAGGAAAACCCTGAAGAGTGCGTGTGCGTCTTTGGCCATGGGGTCAGCCTTCGATCATATGGGAAACGGCAAGAAAAACACAAGCAATTCTACCATTGTCTGTTAACTTAAGCAATACAGAAAGACCACCTTCCGAGAATTAGAATCGAAAAGAGTATAAGTTCGAAAAAAAGGGCTTACAAGTTTCCAAGCAGACTAAAAGTTGTTAGATGGTTTCGACTTTCCGTGCACATTTCAGATCACGAACCATCTACACAATGTAGAGATATAGACTAGAAAACGCGAAGGCTACTCTCAGAGTGGCCAGACACAGTAGAATGCTGGAAACAACATTACAAATTGGGGCTGCAAATTGTGATTCTATGACCAACTTTACATTTTTCAGCAACACTCAGGCTGCATGGTAAAGACTATTTGTACGATCCTCACTTGTAGCCTGTTTAGCGAGACAGTCAGGACAATACAGGTCACTGTCCGAGCGTAAAATCTTTGGTCCGGCCATGGAGATAGAATGGTCCGGCCGAGCAAACATAATACCAGTCCACGCGGATTACACAAGAGGATGATCACACCCTCCCTCAGACACAATAACTCTCCCTCCGGCAGGTCATGGGACTGGAGCACGTGAGGTGAAAATGGGAGGAACCATTTTATCAAAAGGTGACATTTTTTTTAAAGAAATGCTTAAAATCTTCGTGTCTTCTTATCATAAGCAAGCGGCGAAACTCACTGAAACGTGACAAATGTATACATTGCTATGCAAAACAAATGCTAAGTTCAAAAGTCATTGACAAATCAGAAAAAAACACAGTGCCTTCTGGAATTATCTCTTGCATTTGCAAGTGCTCATTAGCACAGTTTTAGGCTCAAAAGGCGGCCACTTTGTTCCGACTATGAAACTTATGATCTACGAGGTTGTCATGTAATATTAGACATGTACCACCGATTTCGTTTAGCTGTAATTCTGATATGTCATACGACATGACATATCTCGTGTCTTTCGTAACCAGTTCTACTCTGTTCTCACTACGCGTACTTTCGGGGTTGAATGTTAGTACTAGTATTAGTTACCATCAAAACACTGCGACGTCACAAGACAATAGAGTCAAGACAGTCTACTGAAGTACTCTCCTGCCAGAGGTTAGGCTTTGCCAATTGGCGTGTTTTTGGAGTGTTTTAGGTGTTATCATTGGGCTCTCCTTTTTGTTTTACACCAGCCTAACACACAGTGAGCCTAACAAATGGTAACTGCCTGGCAAATGGATACAGCCTGGCCAATTTGATACTGTCTTTCCAGCTACCAAAAGATCTGCTTGGAGATTACCACTGAAGACGTTCACAAGACCAAGATGGAGGCTCACTCTCTGCCCCGAGAAGACGACTTGCTGGAGAGAACGCCGCTCCTGTCGCTGGACCTCCCTCCCGGCTACAGCCCGTACCCGAGACACCCGGACGAGAAGCGGGGCAGAGACGCCAGCCCGCCCCGGGAGCCGTGGAACAACGGCGGCGGCGTGCCCGTCTTCATCACGTTCTGTATATTCATGGTGGAGGTGTGCGAGAGGATTGTCTATTACGCCATTGTGTCCAACCTGGTCCTATACTGCACCAGGGACCTGCACTTTACAAGGTACGGACTTTATTATTGAACAAAGTTGATCATACACAATTTACTTTGATTTTTATTTTTTAGGACCAATATAACCAAGCGAAAGTAAGATGATATCTGAATACATTTTAATACTAGCCCTACACTAGATGCACGTCAATTTCTTCTCAATTTCATACCGGTAATTTTGTAAAAAGGAAATATAGCGTTCACGCCGTATAATGTTATGTATAAACGCACTGTCATTTGTGTCATTAATATTTGAGAAATCATTTGTTGAATTTGACATCATTTTGAAGAATTCATTTGCCTTCGCGTTACAACATTTATAGTGTAATTATGTTTCGAATGCAGGATATAAACGTATGTTAGTGTTTCAAACAGTTTACATTTATTCATGGTGTTATTCTGACAGAGAGTAAAATGCCGTCTACACCCTGTAATAAGCCTTGTTGACAAACCGGTTTTCTGGCAATTGTAAACATAATCACATGTGCGAAAAACAAGAAAATTACGTTTTATTGACGTAATTTTCTGTAACATCTGCAAGAAAAAGTTGTTTCTTCAGGGCCAGGGACAGACAGAAAACAAAATCTTGGTAGAAACATTTTTGCTAAACCCAAAGCCCTGAACAAATAGATATTGTAGTCTTTGAAGGTTGAAGGATGATATGTTTTTAGAGAAATTTAAAAAAAAACTGCGTCAGTCTATAATTTCTGAGCCATTGGTACAGGTATAATGAAAGGGTGGCCGATAAGAAACTGTTTTCCGTAAAAAAAACTCAATTTCACATGAAACAAATCTTTGCCTCAGGATCCTGTAACCTTTGGGGCAGATCCTGATGTGTTACCCGGGCCTGCACAGGCCGGCTCCTCAGCTCCAGGGTCAACAGGCCTCCAAGAAAAGTTTGCGTACCCTGTAAACATGTCTAGAAAAACCCTAAGTTAATTTTGGGACATGTCAGCCTTGGAGTCGAAGGCCCGACTAAGCCCAGGTAAAAGCCTGGCTCCGAGACTAGTCTCCTTGCATTTTCAACTGTTTACCAGCATAAGTTTGTAAAATACTGCATTGATGCGTCGATGAAGGTCAGGCATCAAGGTAATGAGATGAAAACGGTAACTCAAACAACTTACTAGCTCAAAACTAGTACAGCATTGATACGTCGATGAAGTTTAGACATCTAGGTAATGGGGTGCACAAGATTCTAGAAATCTTGCTTGAGTATTAGTTTTGTTCTGTTCAACGCTGACATGATAATACTGCATGTATCTGTCCCAGTACGGAAGCGGTGATCATCAGCCTGGTGTTCAGCGGCTCGGGCTGCCTCCTCCCGCCGCTAGGGGGCTTCCTGGCCGACACATGCGCGGGACGGTACCTGACTATCGTGGGGAGCTGTCTGCTGCTCGCCGCTGGTAAGTGTCTTTGACTTTGACAGTTACTCTGCAGTTTATACATGTATATACATTTGTAGTAGTACACGTATTTTTTAGTCATTTTGTTGTAGGCAGGAAGTCTGTAAATATTGCATTGGGTGGCTCAGCTGGTGGCTGGGTTTGTGTACCTATTTGTCCGGACGGGGTATAGGTTGATAGCACGTGGGTGGGAAGAAGATTGACATTGACAGGTAGGTGGTCAACGGTCACAGATTTTGGCCTGGAGCCATTAGGAAATCAGGAAGCCGAGAAGTGCATACTTTCGTTAAGTCTGAAGTCTCCGATTTTTGTTTTCCCAACCAACGATAAATGAAATGAAATGCACTTTTCCTTTGTGCACATTGCCATTGACATAACCACTTGCTCTACAGCGATCTCATACAGAAAGAAGTAATTCTGTACGTGGCTTTGTGAAAATCTGCCCCTTTCCATCTCCCACAGGCATGTCCCTGCTGCCCGTCGCCGCCTTCCCGTACGTTGAGTATTACGGTGAGGAGTGGGACCTGGGCCAGGAGACGGAGAGAGGCGTGTTCCTGGTCGGGCTGTTCCTCGTGGCGGTCGGGCAGGGCGGCATCAAGGCGAACGTGGCGCCGTTCGCAGCACAGCAGGCCGCGGAGATGAGCATGGAGACGGAACGGAGCTTCTTCAACTGGTGCGTGGTTCGTTACACAACGAATTTCGAACACCAAGTTTCAGTCTATTGATGAAGTATTGATAAGGCATGCTACTAGTATTTCGTTGTTTGTTTGTTTGTTTGCTTGCTTGCTTGTCCGAAGCCGGAAAGAAAAGTCAAACCTATTTTCTTGTGTTAAACGATGTGACAGTAATTGTAGGCGCGGAACACAAACTTTAACATACTGAAAGCATAATACCAATCGTTAATTTCTAACCACCCTGATAATACTAAAATCATGTTCACTACCCTTTGTTATGTGAATAGGTCGCGAAAGTGAAAAAAATTACCTGCCAACATCATTACTGTAAGTGTAAAAGACTTGCCACGCTCTTGAACTGTTTCTGTTTTGCCGCAGGTTTTTCTGGATGCTGAATCTCGGAGCGGGATTCTCGCTGTCTGTGATCGCGTGGATCCAGCAGGACGTGTCGTTCTGGATCGGGTTCCTGATCCCTGTGATCGCGGCCGGGATCACGCTCATGGCGCTCCTGGTCTGCCGGTGCGCCGGGCAGCTCAATATAGAGGAACCTAAAGGTCAGAGGTCGTATAACTTACGATAGTAGTGGAAGAATAAGGGAAAGTATAATGTATGAAAAGTCTGGCCAAAGTTGTTAAAGTTAATTAGTCCCTTACCATATAGCGTATATACGTCTCCGTTTCTGCTGTCCTTAGGCCACACAATCGTGCAAGCAAGGGCTAAAACAGGGGGTCCATATGCTAATGGCTGAGTAGAGCTAGAGAAGCAGCGTAAACAACTTGAAAGTAGTATTTTGTATGTCTCAGTTGGGAATGGCCAAATATTATCAAAAATATACCTCTTTAACAGAAGATTTTGGTATTTTTGTTACACTCATTACATTTGCAATTGTCTCCTACTTCATGAAATAATCGCAAAATCATGTTCCCCTGTAGGCAGCGCCGTCTCTACCGTGGCGTTAATTCTGGGCGACGCTGTGAAGAACAGACTGAGGAGAGGTTCCTACGGGTACGCCGGGCAGGGCATCCTGGACTACGCAAAGGTGATCAACTTGAGCTGATCTTTTAACTTTTAAGACATAAAAGAACTCCAGAATAAACGTCCCACTTATGATTTTTCTTTGGACAAAACGGTGAAGGTTACTTTGTCTTATTTTCTAAAGAACCTATGATATCAGGCACGTGAAACTTTTGAAAAGTAAAATAATTTATTTTGATTGATCGATTGACCGATTGATTGATTGATTGATTGATTGATTGATTGATTGATTTGACCTCGCGTTATTGTTGACGTGGTCTCCAGGAAGAGTTCGGAGGACGCTGGTGCGAGACCCGGGTGGAGGAGGTGCGAACCCTCGGCAGGATCGTGCCCATCTTCCTGCTGCAGATCATGTACAGGATCGTCTTCTTCCAGGTCAGGAAGACTTTCCTGTTTTGTTTGTTTGCTTCGTGGTATTTTCGAAAAATGATTTGTAACTATCATGATAGGAACAAAATGAAGCGTAGACTAGTAAGTCTAGGACCATGTTTTGATTCTGTGCATTCTGCTTTTTAGCCACTCTAACTCAGCCTTGCTACATAATGTAATCCAACACCACATGGTATATCTGTCGTAGCACCATGCAGTTACCATGGTGACAGATATTTGGTACAGGTCATTGACCTTATGTGTTTGGAGAAGAAGAAACAGAGCAAAAACCGATATATCTTGCGAAGGTTAACATGAATTCTTCCCTCTAGATGCAGACGAGTTACTTCCTTCAGGGAGAGCGGATGGATCTGCGGCTGTTTGACAGTGATGAGGACGACTCTGGGGACGAGCCCTGGAGCATGCCCGTGGCCGCCCTTAACCTGTTCTACGTCATACCCGTCATGGTTCTCGTTCCCATGTTGGATAAAGTCGTCTACCCCATCCTGGACAGGAGAGGCATACAGCTCACCATGCTGAAGAGAATAGGTACCATCAACTGTCGTTCGTATTTTGTTCTTAGTCTTTGGAGTTAGCTCTTCGTCTATTTCGTTATGTCCAGGTTTCGTGTAAGCCTTACTGTGTACTTCGACATTTAACGTAGACTACGTTTAACCTATGACAGTCACTGGCAAAAGGTAGTGGATGCTACCTGAAGTGTCTGACCGTAACGTTTTAAGAATTTTATCCAGTTGTTTAGGAAAATGTTATCTCAGGCATTACCGTATTTCCTGCAAGTGGATTTAAAAGTCGGCATATAGAGGTGGACGCTTCGGCAAGTTTAACTGTATTATCATTGAGTGTCATTGTCATCATTACATGTACGTTCTGTTTGTTTTGTTAGGTGATATTCAGATTATCAATGGTGTTATTTTCCTTGTGTCTTTAAGTGTTTGAACAGGACTGATATTTTCCCCCAGGAATCGGCATGTTCCTGGGCATCGTGTCCATCTGCGTGGCTGCGTGTGTGGAGATCGCGCGGAAGCGGACCATGGAGCAGGACGGCGGGTCGTTCGAGCAGACGGTGGCGGGGGAGGTGTTCGAGGCGTCCGCGCTCAGCATCTTCTGGCAGGTCCCGCAGTTCACGCTCATCGGGCTGGCGGAGGTGTTCGCCATGACGGCAGGTAAGGGATGTGGTTTGTTTCTTTTGTAGCGAAGTCCAGTGATTACCACCCCTGCCAGTAGCCTGGATACCATCCTGGTTAGTTTACGTTCACCCTTATAGTCCCTACTTGTTGGTAGTTAGCGCCAATGGGAGCAAAGGTGAACTGACCAGGATAGTACCCAGGCTACTGGGCTAAGAGGTTCTTAGTTTGAATCCCGACTGTTGTCGCTCAACCAACATGTCATGTACAAATGTACTTCACTGGTAAGGGTCACAGCCTTGAGGACTGGACGTTAAGAATGTACTGCCCCAATCAGATGTCAGTGGGATGCTGTAAACTAGAGGCGGTCAAATAGACTGTAGTACTCTTGCATATCATTCTAGTCTTTTTTTTTCCAATTCCCACTGTTTAACAGAAATCCAATGGAGTCTGGTAGAGACTAAAACGTGCTAAAACTATATCGCTTATTCCCCCTCCAGGAATCCAGTTCGCGTACACGGAGGCGCCGCGGGACCTGCGCGGGCTGCTGCAGGGCTGCTTCTCCCTGACGGTCGGGCTGGGCGGATACATGGGCAGCGTCGTCGCCGAGGTCGTCAACGTGGCCACGGAAGGTGATAGTTTCAACTTTCAACTATCACGCTTATATTAAAACAGAGTTAGAGTGTGGTGTAATCTTGTTTTGGCACCCCAGTTTGGCGAATTGCTAATTTCCCGTGTACGTGAGGCAACGAAATAAGCTATCATGGGTCATTCTATCTAGTGAAGAGTTATCAAAAAAGATTATCAAAATATGTAATTTCAGCAATTATTTGTGCAAATTGCATGTTATACCAAGGAGGGTATAGTGGATAATAGAAGTAAGGAAGTATTGCTTTTCGTTGGCTGAGCTTGTGTATCTCTTTGTACAGAGTAGGTTGACAGCACGTGGGTGGGGCAAGATTGACTTGCAAAATGACAGGAGGTCAAAGGCGTCATAAACCTGGCCGTCAGTCAATGGCTGACGTGGTGGAGGGAGCCGAGAATTTCTGGTCTTCAATTTCTTCTTTTTTCGTAGGTTCCGACTGGTTTCCTGAAGAATTGAATGACGGCTTCGTGGAACGATATTTCTTCCTCCTGGCGGCCATGTTGGCGGTTAATCTGCTCCTGTTCATCTCCGTTGCCCGTGGTTACCGCTACGTGGCCACGCCTAGCAACGGCCAGCTCATCCGGAAGTTATACGTCATCGAAGAGGAAGAAGACATTATGCTGGGTAACACGCCTAACGGGTCAACTCGGTCACGGAGAAGTTCATCAAATAGTTCCTCCGCATTATGATTGTTGAGCATAGTCGGCTAGCCTCTACCAGGCTTCAGAAGCGGCTGGAAAGAGTAGGAATTTTTATTGTACTCTCCAAGCAGAGGTTTAGGCTATTTTTGTCGTGTTTTAGGCGTTTTATTTGGGCTCTCTTTTTTATACTGGTATTTTTCACACTGCCTAACTAAATGGTAACTCTCTGGCAAATGGATACTGTCTGGTCAATTTTATACTGTCTTTGCAGCCTCATAGAGATTATAGAAACCGGCCAAATAGACGGATAACATGCCAGGGGAGATATTCCTCGAGATGAGTACAGTTTGCCTCTCTTCTGAAGCCAGGTTGAGGCTAATAGTCGGCATGTATGTTGCAATTTTCATGATTCCGAATTGGTTGTTTGAAAGCGTCTATAAATTTGTCACGTGCATAGTATGGTAGAAATATGTATATAAAGATATGTTTTCGTTTAGAATTTACAAAGTTGCAATTGGAGAATATAGAAATGTCTTGTCGTTGATTTACTTGAGAAATAAAGGTATAACGGTGTTCTGATGTTCTTGTTGGTCGTTTTTGTGTGGGTGTGTGTGTTCACGTTACTTTCTAGAAAAAAGGTGGCCTAAGGTGTAAAAGAAACGAAGATGGGCACCGCCCAATACACCAAAAGATGTAGAAAAGGATTTACGGTAACTTAACACAAGTTACTACAGGAGTGTGTTACAGAGACTAGTCCGCCCCAGTGCGGAAGGGCGTTGGTCACACGGCATTGTTTGCACAGGGTGGATCATGAAGAGGGTATGTTCCCACGGCTGACCCACTTCAAATAGGAGATGGCCCGTCAGTCGTTAGGAGGGAATCTTATATCTCAGTAACATTTAACATTTGAGGAATTCGACAACACATCTAAGGAAAACGGGGGGCTGCAACAGTTTGGGTTTTAGAAAAGGCAAAACAACAGAGACTTTAACTATTATGCCGGTACGCCTTCTGTCGGTTTGGTTTGGAAGCGCCGTGCCATGTGTCACGTATGACTTGTGTTCTGGTGCAGACAATATCAGGATTGGGCCTCAGGGTAGGGCAAGACAAGTATATTAGCTTCAGACAATATAATTCGCGAACCATCTGCGTCTTCCAAGGCGTTTTTCGTGCCGCTATGGAGTTGAAACAAACTCTCTCTCAGCACCATTTCTAACCTAACATGTAGCGGTCTTCCCTGTTGCGTTTTGGAGAGCGTGTCTTTCGGCAGACGGCTGTAGTTTGCGTCACAGTCAGTGAAGTCGAAAGATAAGCAAACTTAAGAAGTTACCTGAGGGTAGTCCACCCGTAACCCCGCGTGCAACAAGAACTATCCGGTCTGCGGCGCTCCCATTGGTCGGCCGTGTTGACGGAGGCTTGTGATTGGCTGCGAGGCGCGCTGACCCGTGACGCGGTGTGAGATAGTCCCGTAGAACAGGTTGGACCGGCCTTGGGTGGGTGGAGGCCCGGAGAATGGAATGGAATATTACATCCAACCCAGCGATGTGAGAACGTCCGTAACACCGCCACTGCTGCGCCGAATTCTTAGCCACAGACTGTAACGCCAACGTCAAACCCCGACCCGGGAGGACGACAGGACACCTGCCGACAGGTAAGTGTGAACACCTGGCGTACACGCACTGAAGCGCCGCGCGGGACGGCCCAGGATGGGTGCCTCATAGTTACACCCTGTTAATTATAATATACTCCCACATTCATACAGTCTGAAACTGTCCAAAGTCTATGACTAGAGGAAGGGTACGGGAACTAAAAAAATCCACTCGGTATAGAGCTACAAAATGTATTATTAGGCTCCTAGGAATGAATAGAATGATTTGTATTGTTCAGTAGGTGGGAGGGTGGTGGGTATATGGATTCTCTCTCTCTTAACAATGCTCAATGGCTGGACATTTTCCCATCAATTTAAAACCAATCGCAGAACCGTTGTTGTGATACGGACAAAACTATGCGGAAGTGTGTAGACCAAACATGGACGACGACGAAAAAATTACTCCGAAGTATCCATACCCTCGCCGCCTCGACTGATCGTCGTTTCCCCCCAGGCCATGTCTACCATGAGACGAATGACATTTGCATGCCATGTAGGTTCTATTTGGGTGTGATCCTTCTAAAAGATAGTGACGGTTTATATAACTGGTTACAAACTCCGACAGAAACCTAATCTCCAACCAAATAAAGGGTCTGGCGTTAGCGTTTCAGGTGTGTTTTTGAGGCTTTTGATACTTCTTGCAGGTGTTACCCTTTTTTTAACTATTCCCATCCTCTAGAGACCACTATAAAGAAGTATAAAAAGCACATAAAACGTTTCTGAAACACTACTGATTGTAGATTACAGAAATCGGCAGCGTTAACAAACAGTTGCGCGCCGACAGGATTTTAAATTAGGTTAAAATGCGAAACTGTAGCGCAAACGAGTTGGTCCGGGGAAGAATGCGGGGGCATTACTGGTCCCATTGTCTGTCTGTTTGTCACCAGGGTGAACTGTAATGCACGGTTCAACCGTGACCTTTCCAATTGGCTCTTACACCAGAAAACACTCACCTGAAGGTTACATGGCTGTAACGGTAAGATTTCTGGACTCTAGAGTTTTAGTTTTTTTATGTGTTGTTTTTCTTTGAACCATAGGAACAATGCCACAGTCGGTTTGCGTTCGTCGGACGTTCCCGTTCCTGTTTCATTTATATGTTTTGTATCATATTTACGGTGGTGACATTACTGTACACCGTTTCACTTGAGGGTGACACCACTGTGCACTGTTTTGCTACAAAGTTGCAATACATAAAAATGCCACAGTTGACAGCCAACCATTCTATAATGACCGGCGCATCTTAAAGCTTCACGAAGCTTAAGGTTTAGTTTCAACCAGCAAAAACGCCACACCTTCAGTTTCTATCGCTGAAAGAACACAGGATATACGGTCAGCAGCAAAGTAACCTAACTGAATCACCCAAACGTTCTTTCTCTAAGACGATGTTAACATGTAGTATCACAATTAAAGGGATACAGTTTATTTACATGGACTATGTTGAACTCTGTGCAAATTATAAGATAGGGGAACTCTGGCAATAGAAATAACATACAACTTCCAACAAAAAGATACGCACAGGTAAGCAGAATTATGTGTTACACCTGCATGGCTCTAGTCAGGATTTCCCCTTGGTTCCACCTTTGTGGTATAACCACGATGACTTCCAAAATAAATAAGCTACAAAGTGTTTGAAAGCACCAGTCCGTACTCAAAATAAACAGTTCTACAGCTTATATAATACCGGGACTGTCAAAAGTGACGTATATAAATATTATGCAGAATAGACCACCTAAAAATGCACTGTTTCGGCTGGTTTTGAGTAAGAAGCTGTGTAAGGTTTAAAATATTGCATTGATGAAATGTTGAGTAAAAATAGTGACAACATTTACCTCGAAGGTCATAGTCAGCGAACGCTGTACATATTTCATACATACCGCATAGTTTGAGTGATTGCAACAACAAATAGAGCAAGAACCTTGTGTAACTTGTACAGTAATTCCATATAACAATCGCCAAATTTTGTTGTTTTCCTTCCCATATCTGTAAGAGAGGTCTTTCCTTACATATCCTACAAGATTTCTTTTAAAATTGATGCTCTTAAGACACTTGAAGAAAAACCACCACCTTGGGCATTAAGAATGCATGAATAGAAGTTCGTGAGTATGGGCATGCCTGTACGTTACATTAACCGTGTTACCCTATTTTTTGTTGAGAGGCATTGGCATTTAAAATATTCATGACATCATGGCGGAGATATTGGCCATGTTCTGATGTCAATAACCTCATAAGTTAGGGCCATATACTATAGTACCGGTGACATAGAACAGATCCAGCTGTTTCTTTGTTCAATTCTACCATTGTCCCATATATCCCCTGATATGGTAGTAAAACTTAAAAGGGGGGAGTGGCTGGTGTAACGACTTCGCCCATGAATCATAATGTTGAACGCCCCACACAGACAGACACATCTGGACAGACTTTGTCTTAAATCTGTCGGTACTAACAAAGGAAGAAGCCACTGACAGGGCTATTATGAATGTAGGGTAGTTTATCGCGCCATATTTGTTCGGTGATTTGCCAGCCCTTTGAGTAATGCCGACTTCACCTTGAATAATGATGCAATATGACATTTCGCCGTGTGTTGTCTGTGATCGTCTGCTGACCTTTGACACGTTCTGGGTTCATCTTAAAACATTATCGAGTTTCTGGAATGGTTTACGGTTATGCCATGTCACGCAAACATTGTATATATATATATGATATCTTATTTTCATCAAATATTTCAACAAAACTGGCAGAATATATCTAGGTACACATATTATAAAGGAATGAATATGTCACCTGTGCCGCCATCTTTAAAAGTGGTTCTTTTGACCTCTGGAATGTCGTCTGACTTCTGTCCGCCATTTTTATTCCGAGCCTTGTCTATTCGCCCGCATTGCATCATGCAAGTCTGTGCTAAAATTACATATTCAAGCTTTAACTACACAACTGATCAAAAGTCGTTTAAATTTCTTAGAAATTTGTTTTGTTTTGCAACGTCTTGACCTTAAAATGTTTTGCAGTGTCCAGAAATAAATAAATAACTTCAGGTGTATACAAACCAAAGAAAGAATATCACGGGTGGGCGTAGATGAAAGAAGGCATGTCATTTCTACTGAAAGTTGAAGTTATTATCTACATGCCAACAAAATGACAAACGCTTCTATCAACTGCACAATAACTCAACATGACAACAAAAACATCCATCGCTTTTATGTTTTAATGCCAACCAATTTCACAGTTTAAGCCGATAAGCCTAAAGATCATCTGATAATGTCCCTTTAGAAGATTTGGCTTAATATGGTAATTATACAAACGCCTCGAACGTTTAGCACTTAATTGATGAAGACGACTTGATTCCTTCTTTCATTAAAAAGCATTACCTTCCACAATTCCTATACACAACCAATATTTTTTTCATGAAATCACAAATTTTGTAAAAATTTTAGTATTGTGAACAGTCACAGTCAGGAACAGCCTCAGTAGCAGGCTTATAGAACTGGGGGTTTGGTGGTCTTCGGCTGTTTTCTGATTAGCCCAGTTATAAAACGGGGGAAATTCAACCAGGCCGGCTATGTTGTCAATATGCAATCAGAAAATAGCACATAAAAGCTCCCAAAGACCCCCAAAACCCCCAGTTTTTGGCATGCTATGGAGGCTAGGTGTGGGATTGGAATGTAGGTGTGTCGAGAAAACCCAGTGTACAAATCTCAGCCCCGGGGTAGAGTTTATAACCTATACTTACCTCTTACGAACAAAACAGCGCCTGAAGCCTCCTGACGCTCATGCCGTACATACAAATGGGGTCAGACTTCTGCACGATAACTCAACTTCCTGGCAGCTGGGCAAAATTACAAGGAGGTTCTGTAGGTTAAGTAACACGAATTACAAGGAATCTCTTCAACAATGCTAGGAATGCTATCTTTCAATGGCTAGGAATCCTTAAAAAGTCTTGGTTTCATACCACGATCATGAGTTTATTTTAGATATTTCCAAACAGTTAATGACATCTTCTGACCAAGGCTAATTCACAAACGAACCATAACATTGGCACCTAAGAGTCTTCTTTCCAATATATTACCCTTTAGTCAAACCATTAACCAACAGATGAACGCTTTAACCTGCAGCCTGAACCATTCAGAATGCCCAAGGCTGAACTACTCTACTTGCTTACTTCAATGATAGTGTCTACAGAGATACTGAGAACACATGTATTGTTGTTTTTTCTACAGCCAGGCATGTTCTAAGACAGAAGTGAGCGCCATGACCACCAGTAAGCCAACCCCGCCTGAGTTTGCAGCCGGCCACTTCACCCTGTCCTGGAGTCTGGGCAGGGACAGTGACCAGGCGCGGCGGCCCCGCGGCAGGTACGAGCTCAAGTGTCTGTATGAGGACCTCAGGCAAGACGCGGAGACAGAGACGGGTAAGAAAACTTCGAATCGTGATACTGTTTGTTGGAAAAAAGTCAACATTTTACCTGATGTACAGTGGAATATTACCAACAGGTTGTGTGAATAGCTTCAGTCAAGTTCACTGTCATTGCTCACGGCCATTGGAAAATGGCCTCTACCAGGCTTTAGAAGCGGCTGGAAAGAGAAGCAATAGACAGATAACATGCCAAGGGAGTTGGTCCGCTAAATGACTAAACTATAGTCCTATAAAGGATCAACTCCCTTGTCATGTTTTCTGTCTATTTGGCCAATTTCTACACTTTCCAGCCGCTTTTAAAGCCTGGTATAAGCTAATTAGAAAATATGGTTCCTCTTTCACAACCTTAAAGACTTTAAACTAGTACACATGTAACGTTACTACCTTATCTAATTAGAGCTGAAAGAAGTTGCTATTACTCGCCGCTGGGTAGTGGGTGGCCAAACGTGCCTGACTCTATGTCTACCCTGTCTTCTTGTAGGCACAGTGAAGCGAGCAGTACAGAACGTGATGGGAGTTCTCGCCTACCACCTGGAGGACACCCAGGCCGCCCGCCTGTACTTCGAGTCCGTCCTGGAGGAGGACGCCGTGAACGTGAACGCGCTGGAGAACTGCTGCTTCCTGCTCAGGAAAACAGACAAGTACGACCTGGCGGAGGGGTTCGAGGACAGGGCGAGGGCGGCGGTCGGGCAAACCGAGGCCGAGGCAGATCAGGAAATGGTAATTTGAATATTGTTATGAAATTGACTATTGTGTACTCTTTGCGTATGTGTGTTTATGTGTGTTTGTGTGTGTGTGTGTGTGTGTATGTGTGTTTATGTGTGTGTGTGTGTGTGTGCGCGCGCGCGCGCGCGCGCGTGTGTGTGTGCGTCTGTGCGTGTGTTGTTGCTTTTTGCTTGTTTGTTTGCATTGACTGTTGATTTTGTGACTGATAAATGTTTATATGTTGCATTTTTTCACCAAGGTGTCGTTGGTCAAAGCGAGGGCAATGGCGGAACTCGGCTACGCATGCGCGCTGGACGTTTTCAACGCGAGAACACAAGATGATCTCATTCAGGTAATATCAAAAATAGCTTGTTGACAAAATATGTCTTCTCATGTTGCCATGTCCACGATTAAATGTCCCCAATCCAACATTTTAGGTTTTTATATCCCTTATATGGTTCCATGCCTTCTTTCGAACAGGTGTTCGAGAGATCGAACGGCTACTACCATCGCGCCCTTCGGATTGGGACAGACAACGTGACGTCATCCGAGCAGAGCCAATGGCTGTTCGCCATCGCCCTGAACTACATCCGGATCGACTCCTTACGTCAGGAGGCTAACCTTGACCTCTGCTACCAGGCGCTCGACCTCCTCAAAGACGTTGTGAAGAGCACGAAGTCGCAGTACTACAAGTGCAAGGCGCTGTGCTACACAGGGTTGCTCTTACAGAGTAGGTCCGCCCTGAATAAGGGGTTCTCGGAAGAATGTATCCGGGACAGTGGATATTTCGAACAAGACCCGCTGGACTACTTCGGCGAGGCCATACAGCAAGCCGGAGAAGACACCGCGATTCTAAACAAACTCGCCAAAATATTCGTCCAGTCCGGGCGTTACCAACTCGCCCTGGATATCCTCAACGTCTCTCGTGCCATCGTGCCCGACCATACGCAGAATCACTTCGCCTTTAGCATCAGCGTGCAGGCCAACAAGAACATGTACCTGGACCAACTAGCCAAGTACCGACAGGGAACCCTAGACGGCCGTCCGGACAAGAAGCTCCTCAACAAAGCCAGGGAGGACATGCAGGCGATTCTGGGGACACGCACGGGGGTGCACGCGTACCTGGAGCTGGCGGTGGTGTGCTACCACCTCGGGGTGGAGACCATGGACGAGTCGTCGGTTGTAGCGGAGTTCGAGCTGGCGCAGGCGGTGGAGTATGCAGCACGCGCACGGGACTGCGACATGGGAGACTCCCTGCCCGAGGTGCAGCTGATGCGAGGGAAGTGCCACCGCGCCAGGGGAGACGACTGGAAGGCGATGGACGCGTTCAAACAGGCGGTGGAGATGGAGCATCTCAACGAAGGGGCTGCGCTCACGGGTAAGGATATTCTGATGTCTATCGTGGTTGGGGCCGGCTCTCTTCGGGGCTGTAATAGTGTTCCCCCGCCCAACTCAACTGGCCGTCCGGTTGGAGTTTTGCGCCTGTAGGAGCTTTGCTAATAGAGTTTGGCACGCCGAGAGTGTGGTGGGCCTAATCAAACTCCCGCCGTCAAAAACCTACCGGGGAAACCTAGCTCAGGCGGGCGGGGAAGAGCTCCTGCAGCCCCGAAGAAAAACCTCCCAACCACGATAGACTGGTTACCAGATTACAGGCTAGGCTGCAACGACATTAATGCTAGACTAGAAAACTTGTTGACTGACATATATGACAACTGAGTTGTTAGTGTTGAAGAATAAATGGAGGTAGTTTTTCTCAATGCATTCCTCCTTATGCTTGTTAAGAGAAAGTCGGCGTAGCTTTCCGTATTATACTTTATACCCTACTACGTATACATTTACATTTTTTTACAGAATCCTACAAGCTCCTGGGAGAAATCATCCTCACCCTGCACAGGAGGGACAAAACCTGGCGGGAGGGCGCCATCGACGAAATGGAACTCTGGGTAACGGAGGGCCGGAAGCGCTACGTCGACTTCCTCCCAGAATTCCACACGTTTTGCCGGCAGAACGTCAGTGACGTCATGGAGCTGGGGAAAGAGATGGTAAAGGCAGGCAGACTGGGCATGGTCAGGCTGTGTCTGGAGGCTGTTTCCTCAGCCTAGTTCAAAGACTCAAACAGGGTAAAAATTTGCAAAATGGATGCAAAACACAGTATCGTCCAGTTTGGACAGAAATGGGACATACTTGAACAATACATCTTGAAGCAATGCAGAGAAAGCACTCAAAAAAGTGCAAAAGTCCTTGAAAGAAGTACAATCTATTTCACTTTGTCTTTGGTAAAGAACCAGTCAAAATCTTTCCATCCAAACATTATCAAATGGAGCCAAACAGCTACCAGAAACAGATTAAAAGATAGCTTTTTCACAATTATTTTCCAAAAGCGACTGAAAAGAATCAACAGTCTAAAAAAACACCATTGAAACATTAGAAACCTACTATTCAAGTCATCACAGAGGAGCTAAAGCACACCAATCTTTATGTCAGTAGGTAATGTGGAAAGCATACAATGCAGAAAGTTGTCTTCGAGCACAGATGACGTTATATGCTCAGAGTATTTTTTATGCACACAGCCACATGTAAAGAGATCATGTAGGACTACAATTTCACCGCAATAATCTATCACAAAGTGGAAATTCACAGAAATAGGATATAATTCAACAGTTGTCTTAGTTAAAAGGAAACTTTTGCACCAGTTAGATACCATCATAGAAACCGCAAGTCAGACTTTCACTGACACAAAGTAGATTGTAGACTCAGGTATCAAAGCAAGTAGTGTAATATTGGACAGGCTGCATGAACAATTTTTTTTGTCATTTCACATATTTAGTTTTATACTAAACTGATATTTCGTATTGCCAAAGCATCTTGTTGAAGAATTCTCAGATTGTGTTGCGCAGGAATGCAAAGTCACTGCTACAGATTGAAATGTAGAGGCTGTCATTCAAATAACTTAAAGGACAGAAATTTTATCAGATGTATGTATATACAAACCACTGCTTTGTTAGAAAGAAGCCACAAATGTTTAACAGAAGAGAGACTATATTTGACTACACAAATGCTGAAAGAGCAATAAAGCAATAGATAATTTCTACATGGTCATTGGTTTTCTGTAGCTAATTAAGAATAACACATATGTTAGATGCTTATGATTGCATTTAAGAGACCTCCTCAAAGCTGGATGCTGGAGTCAACAGTGAAGGCAACTTGCAAGACATCTTCTAAAAGATCATCATGAAGTCTTAAGTGATCCACCTGCTTGATTCTGAAGCACCTGTTGCCAAAGGCATCCACAGTGAGAAACCTTTGGCACTGGTACTTTGGAGTCAAGATGGTGACAATACATCACATCAGCAGCCAGAGGACAAACCACTTCAAGACACTTCAAGTCTTCTTCTTAAACACTGCCCCAAGCCCCCAGCCCAACTATTCTCACTCACGCCACTTGCAGGCTACTGGAAAGGGTGGCAGTCACATTCGAAACCGCAACCAACATTTAAAACAGGGAAAAAGATTGGGCAGTGTGTTCATAGTCACAGAGAAGCTTAAATATCAGAGATTTTATAGTGTCTGCAGCTAAAGACACTGGACTCTGGAGATTTGTATGATACAAATAAACTGTTCACAAGGCAATGCACAGAGTGTGGAAAAAAAGGTAAGGAAAGGCACAGAGTGTTTCTTACTACTAAGAAGCATACACCAGTAAATACATCTATCATGAAAAAAAAACAATTCCTTAAGTCTGATGTGGAAACTGATCATGTTCATAATGCACATGCCACGTACTGTCAACACATGGGGAAACTGGAGGGGGCCTTACTACTAGTATGACTGTAATGATAGATGCACAATCAGATACCTTATACAAGTTTGAGCCTAACATTGCATATAGCAACCCCCATCCCCTTTGGTTTACCTGGACAACTGCACACTTTGGAAAATCAGACATTCAGGAAACTGCTAACATAGATACATACAGCAAATGGCCTTAGAATTACTGTACATGCTATGAGATATGGTATGTATACAGTGCTATCAAACACTTGTACAGGTCATTTTCTAGTACTTCTAATCTGGTGCATAGCTTTTGTATTTACAGTGTATATTATATTTGATGCATGATGTGCGTTTTCTATACAACAATGCAGGTCAGTGACTCCTACCAGTATCATATCTTACAATCAAATCAGTTGAGCAGTCAACAAAAAATGTCAGTCATGTGTACCCAACACAAGAATCAGTGGTCTCCTGTCATTCATTTCAAACAACTTTCTATTGATACATTGAAAAAAACATTCATAAAAGCATTGTTAGTTGTGGGTAAAATAAAAAGATGGCTTTACATAAAACATTGAAACCATACTTTAAAATGGCTCTATCCATATTGTTTGGCAGCTACAGAAATATGCTTGCGATCAAACTAATACAAAAGTGATTGAAAACAACACAATTAAAAACAAACTTTCTTACATAATGTAAATTACAAGACATTTAGGTGACAATGGCATGAAACTTCAGTGCAAAATATACAAGTATTATTTTCAATTGATAACAGATAATCTATGCAAGTCTCAAATCTTAGCTTCTCAGCATTTTGGCTCCTTTTGAACTTAAATTTCTATCAGCACCATATATAAACACTGGCCTAACATAGTCTTCATGTATCATAAATTTACATGTGCCTCCTTAAGTTATTGGCAGGTAAGCAGTAATTACATTTCTTTATACCAAAAATGGATTACACAACTGCAATTCCTTGGTTGTTCACATAATTAAACCACGTATATAGCAAACAAAGCTTTGGCAACTCAAGTCTTAAGTGCACATAATCTTATGTTGTTCATGATCATCTGTTTCTTTTCATTGCCTACTCATGATATTGTGGGATGGTTCCAATGTTGACAATCACATATTGTCTTCATATGGCTAAGAATGGCGGACTTAGGCATCAGAAGACTGCAGAATGTAGATGTAGCCAGTAGAATTCAATGGTTGTAGTGTTATTTGAGGTATGTTGATCCAAGCTGTAGTCTTTGACATTGCCTTCAGACAGTAGGGTTGTAGGTAGCAGCACGTTGTGTTAATGGGCATGGTAGATCAGATATGTACATGCAGATTGTGTACATGTATATGTACATGCAGGTTTGTGTCCTTAACCGATGTTGAAGTTGGGAATCTCATCCCTGTCCTCATCACGCATTCTGAAAATGGAAAAAGAAGATGACCTGTGATTGGCTATTACAAGACTGAGAACAGATCTTTAACCAATAAGGAGGCAAGGTACATAAACTCGAATGCTATTACAGAGTTCACAGGGCAAATAGTCTCATATTGTAAATATTATACATATAATTTCCAAAGCAACTTTTTTCTGATGTTAACATCTTCCACCATTCTATAGTAATCAAGAAATCAACTACAGAAACCATTCTGGAATGTAATATGTGGCCAACAACCTAACCTGCACATGCAGGTCACAAGGATATATACATTGTACATATACATAAACATACCTGGCAAACCTTCTGCCATACATGTATCTCCTCCAGTGCCGAAAGACTAGGATCTGTAGGGATACTAAGATAGCGATGCCCAGGAGGCTCAGGAAGCAGCCTAACAGGATGTCCCTAGAGTAAAACATAGGTAACAAATTAGTCACAATAATTTCAACCATTACAGCCTTACCATGGAAGATTACAGCAGTTGAAAAACAATCATCAAGTCAATATACTAGTATCAAGATTAAGATCAAAGTCTAAAATTGTATTGATTAATGATAAAGGCACAGTCACATGTTACAATTTTCAATGAGACTATAGTATGACTGAACAGACTGTCAGCTGCAACCTTTTCCATCCTTTCTGAAGTTAGTTTTGTTCTAAGAATATCGTCAATTTACTGTCACAGTGGTAAACCTGTTGTATAGGGTACAATGTACTAGTATGTGACTAGACTTTAGAGGAACACAATGAAATCTTGTGCAGACTTTGTACATACCTGGAAAGGGTTGGAGTTGAGCCATTGTCTGCTGCTGTGTTTTGTTCAGTGCTGGGAGGTTTGGAGATGGAATGTGGCATAAATGTGCTGACAACAGCCTCACTAGATTCTGGGAACAACAGACATAATGCAATATCATCAGTATTTACATCAAACAGCGATACAACCTCAGTAATACAAAATATTTGTGCTTCAAGTGTTGAAAATATAATCTCACAGCAATAAAAACAACAGTCAACTTGGATATGCTTATTAACTTTTTAGTTTCTTTTCAACAGAAGGTATTCAAGTTTAAATCACCATACAGGGATTCTAATTTCCAATTTGTTTACCTCTTTTCTGTAATTTAAGTATAAAAGTTGCACTAAACCTGATCCATCCATTAAAAATATCATCAAAGAAATACTCTAGAGTTACACAACTATGCAACAATATAAACTGTACTCACTCACCTGTGGTAAAGAGAATTTTTTCAGACTCCCCGAATTTCTTGTCTCCTATAAAACACATAAACTGGACTTGATACGAGCAGTTTTTCTCCAGTTGAGTCAGCTGGTAGGACCCATTTCTCTCCAGGTCTACATCCACCAGGTTGACCTCTGACCCCTCACACTCCCAGTATAGCAGGCTACACTTGGTGACCTCTGCGCTGTGCGCGACCCAGGACAGCACGGCTGTGGAGGTCGTGACCTCGCTGACTGTCACCGACACAGCAGGCTGAGACTGAGGCTCACCTCCTATAGGACAAAAAATTGTCATGTTGAACTGAGCAGGATGTCCCTTGCGGGACTTAAGCTGATCAGTATTTATAAAGTACATAAGATGAGATAAGATTAGAAAGGCAGACATTTGCTCTGGAGTAAATGCAGCAAATGGCTTCAGGTGTCTACTTACAACATTCTAGCCTGGTAACCAGGCCCCCATGAGCTCAGTGCTATATCTTCGGGCTGGTAGCGTTTGGGGTCGCCAAACCAGGCCCCAATTACTGCGCACCGCCGGGGTAGCTTTTTGCAGATGGTTTAGGTTTCTTCACTCACAAGGTCGGCGCGCAATAGAAGACTTGGCGTAATACAGGAAGTCAGCGAATAAGAGAAACCAGTCCGTGGGATCAGAATATCTCGCCTGTGCTTAGTACTGGCCGGGGTAGGAAAACCCACCCCTAGCCGACCAAAGGTTTGGTACCCAGGCTAACAACAGTCCACCTGTAGACAGACACCACCACCAATACATTGGGAGCTATTAAAATTCACTCCTGTATACTAGTATCTTAACTGTGTGTACCTGGGGGTATTGCAGTAAAGAGGTAAAGATCTCCCAAACACACTGTTTTTCAAGTGGGGATATATGTTATGTAACCTGGTCATGGCATTTTACTGCCATAATCTAAAAATTTATGGGAGTTTCAGTAGCAGTACTAAAATAGTCGTTTCTGCCTTGCATGTACAATCAAATAAATGACAGCGGTCAAATTTTACTTGCCTTTTATGAAAGAATCGCTTAAGACTAAGAAAAAAATCCCCAAGATTACGTAATTTTGTTATTTCAACCAAGGATTGTTTCAATTAACAATGACAACAAATAATTGAAGAGTTATACTAGGCTGTTACTAATATTTGTTAGTATACACTTCATCCCATTCTTTCATCAAATATGTGCATGAACTGGACAAATGTTAGCTGAAAATCTAGTTACAGGTGGTTTTATGTTAAACTTAATTGCACAAAGGTAAACACACCACACAGACGAATTTTCTTATCATGTGGTAGGACGGAAACTTACCGCAATTTCTGACGAAGATCGCCACCGAAATCGCCAAAAATGTATGGAAGATCCTTAGCACCATGTTTTCTCTGGATCCCTATGCTAGACTACCACCGCTGAAGCCCACATCCTCGCTAAAATAGAACAATTTACCGACAGACGACGGAGATTTTTTGTTTCTCCGCCATCTTGTCTTCTTCGATCAGACGAGCATGCGCACAACTGGAAAACACTTTAGACTATGCCAATACAAATTAGGGGTGTTTATTTTGCAACTTGATTTAATAATGTTCACATAAATTGAGCTTCATTACGATAATTCAATGGCCAAATTAAAATGATAATCATTCAAATAATATATTTGTTAATTTTTACCGTAATTTTCGCTGGTACTCAATCTATTAAAACGTAACTTGTTATCCCTAGTGGAGGATTCCAAAGGTCAATGACCTGCTGGGTACTTTTCTGACCTTGGCAGCTGTCCCAAGATCTGTGTACGTCTCTGTCCGTATTTAAGAAAACGTGAGCAAAGAAGTGACTTTATCCAGTTTTAAGGCGGCACCAGGTAGTTAACATTTGCAGGTAGGTGGCACGTAGTTAACTGTGCGTTCGGAAGTTTGTGACATGTACTGTGATGCTTTACTTACAGTGATAATGCCATGTTGTTTTCGTTGGGTCAACACTAGGTCAACACCTGTTTTATACAGAAACTGTAAGGAGTTTCAACTTCAAGGACAACCATGCGTTATAAGGATGTTCATGACACCATATGAGTCCAGATATATAAACATAATATAAACAATAAATATATGATTCTGAATTCCTATGATGTTTGATTTGTAGTTTTATTTTTTACAGAATACAGTAACTATCAAAAGAGGCACTAGTCATCATGGGGTCCATTGTGGGAAAAGCCATGGATGACAACCTGGCCAAGATGCAGGCCTTCCAGCTCAACACCATGCAGATGCAGGTATTTAACAATGTTGAATGTATGATGTTGCGGCATTAGTTGCAGTGGCAGTCGTCCCTCAGTAAGGCATACATAGTTAGACTACATAACAACATTATAACTACATGTATAATGTGACAGAATGTCTGATTTTGTGTCCTTAGTTGGAGCGTCAGCTTCAGATGCAGAACCAGATGCGAGAACGGATGATGGCCATGCAGATCAGCCGGGCCAGGGAGACGCTCAACTACTTCGGCGCATTCTACGCTCTCGTCGCAGTTGGTGGGCTTGGAGCGTAAGTGTCAGGGTGTCTGGTAACATTCGCGACTTTTACTTGTAACTTTCTCTGTAACTGTCCGATGGGCTACAAGCAAAACACAGCCTCCAAAAATTGTCATGGCTGTTACTGGTATGTCAAATTCCATTTGTGCCAAAGATGAGACAAAAGTTAATTAGTTTGTCCATCAAGTGTAAGTTGGTATCGAGATGCTATAATTGCATTCTGCATTACTGTCCAGTTCGTCCTATCTATTGACAATGGGGAAGGTTAAAGCAGCTACAACTTACATTTTTGTCCATATTTTTGTAGGAATTTATGACATTAAAAATTTATTTCTCTTTCAGAACCTTGAAGAGGAAGACTCCAGCTCCCATCCTCCCACTAGTCCCTCTAACCTTCATCCTGGCCTACCAGTATGACATGGCATATGGAACCATGATACAGCGCATGAGAGGTATCAAAGTCTACTGTCACTTCACTTCACTATCCAGTTTTATTGTCTGCTATAATCTTTTTTTGTGAGAATTAGACTTGCTCACACTTCAGACGACCAATGTCGGTCATGGGACTAGGTAGGTATGTAGAACACTTCAGATGTCAAAGTATGATACAGTGTCTTAAAAACTTAAACCATCATATTGGCATATTAGAAGAATGTTTCAAGTGTCATAGAACTATATTTAACACAGATTACAAATGTGTGGTAGACTGTCATACATGCTATGCTGTAGGGTAGGTTTGGTCATTGCAGACCAAGTGAGGTAATAGGGATAATTCTAATTGATTCCTACAGTATTTGTACAGCTTTATTTTTGTAAAAATCAATTGTTATCATAATAACAATCTCCTTTTTAACTTCAGAGGGTTCGGAGCACATCATCTCAGATGAATATAACCTGCTGAACCTGCCTGCCGGTCTGCCCACTTTTGAGACCATCGAGGCAGCCAGGCTCAAGCAGAAGGGAGAGTAGTCAGGCAGCTGGCAGCAATGGTGCAATATTTGTACAGTACTTAGGACACGAGTAAAGAGGGGGCTTTAGAATTTGAAATTTTGAGATACAACATGGAAAAAAGATTGTCTTAAGTTAAGTGTGAGTCTTCTTGAGGTTGAGGGTGTCAATCTCTGATCATGTTCCTTAAGATTTCTACCACATTTTTGGATAAGACAGTCATATTAACTAGGCATAAAAAACAGTCATATTAACTAGGCTTCCATTTTCATACCTCACTGAACATCAGGGATAATTTTTGGAACAAGAGGAGGGTTATACAAACAATAGTGTATTCAGTATATCTTCCATAATCCAAGAAGATGTTACATAGTACAAATTCATATTATTTTCTAAGAAAAAGTAAATGACGACAAACCTGGAAATGGCATGACTTACTTTCAACCACTAGAGTCAAAGAATGAATTTATATAGTTAATTTAGTGTGTTTTCAAATGGTGACAATGATTTTTCTGAAATGTACGGTATTATATAGTGTGTAAGAAGATGTGTGTTTGATCAAATCAAGAACGCCTAGTTGTATCTATAAAGATTTGATATTTGCAGTTGAGAAACTTTAAATGATGAAATATAATCCTAATATCCAATAAAAATACATTTGAAATGTAGCTTTTTTGTCTTATTGTCTTGTGTCCACTGTTAGGTAGTTAGTTACACAATCAGGAGAAGTGAGCTGGTTGATACAATAATAGGGATTGTGGTGGCAGAACCATGGTTGTGCTCTTCATTTAAAGCCAATAGATACTCAAATGCTTTTCTCCTAATGAATAACAAGTGACTACATTATCATAGTGTAATCAAAGCGGACTGCACAAAGACAAGAGGGCTCTTCAACAACAGGAACTCTTTAATGAAACAACTAAAAAAGTTCAGAGTGTAAGCAATGTTAAAACTTTACCCACATGTCCCATGGGTGGCATTAAAGATATCAAAGATTTGGTGAACAGGTGAGTCAAGGGCCAACATTTTCAGTAGTAATCCAAATGGAGTGCCAGGATAAACCTTTGACAACCTCAAATCAGATACCAGCCTAACTGGAGTAGCAGAGATCCGGTCTCTGATAGAGGATGAGAAAAGTAAGTGTATGTACATTCAATAAACAGTATGATCTTCATCAGACATTTGATCTATACATGGCTCAACTCCAGCAATGCATTCCTTTTTTTGAGAAACAAAATGGTAACGTTATAGTCAGTATGCAGCATTTTAGTTGTCTTGCGTGTACAGTAAAACATTAGAAGCATATGCATATTGGACATGTGATGGCAACCAAAAAATGCCATAATACACAGTATAATGTGTAAAAGAACTGAAAACTAATACATTTTTTTTCGTTGGCTCCCATAAAGGTTTCCATTTTTTCTAATCTTAATATATATTTTTTTAACTTTTTTGTACAACCTGTTGGGGAATCGTACCCGTAGAAAGAACGATTTAGGCAGTCCCGAAGATACACATTGGCATCAGTTCATATATATACCGGGCTGCTGCTCGTTTCTAACGGTAGAACGGACCCCTCCTGATCAGCTGTGTGATCCTGTTCGCCATGACTTGTACTGGTTCCACCAGGATCCTCAGAGCGCCGCCTTGGGAGTGAGCGAAGATGAATATCAGCACCTGGATAGCGAACATCAGCTCGATGATAGCGGGCGGTATCACGGCTCTCGGCAGGGCGGCCAGTGGTCGCTGCTCCAGGACTGGCACTAATACTGGCTGCTGTCCCCGCACTGGAGAGAGAGGGCGGACGTCTGGAAGCCACATCGGGGCGCCCGGCGCGTCGTAGAACGTGTCTTCAGCTTCAGGCAGCTTCATCGGCAGGCCAATGGCATCGTAGAAGATTTCTTCCTCCATATTCCACATAGAGAGCCCGGGGACGTCATAGAAGACTTCTTCCTCCTTCTCAAGGCGCGAGTTGTCGCCGACTTGGACTTTCCCAGCGCGGGGGAACTCTGCAGATTCCGTACGGTGCACGATGGAACGGTCGCCGGCACAGTGCACCTCTCCGTACACCTCTCCCATATCCCGCAGGGCGGCAAAGAAGCCCGCGTCGCCAAACACTGAGGTGGCGGACCTGATCGCGATACGATCAGACTTGCGGGGCGGACGGCGGGAAGGCTGGCGGGGTCGGGGCTGCTGGGCTGCCGGGCGGCGCGGCTGGCCTAGGTTAGGGCAGCTCTGGCTCTCCGTCGGCACGAAGGTGGCACGGTGGGTATAAGCTGAAACACATCGGTTCAGGGCTACGTCAGACTAGAAAAGACACATTTGTTACACAATTGGCGTTCTTTACAAACCCTTGGTATTCAGGAAAAGTCTTAAAAACACAAATTGGACGACTAGGGTGCCCCGTATTGTGATATAGTAGCTATTAGCATGTTTCTGTCTGTATGGACTGTGTTCAGCACCAAGGACAGGCATGTTCATTCGTTCATTGTTCTAGAACGCAAGACTCTAACAAAACGCACGGATTGCAATACACACACATATGCACATGTAGAACATATTTACCCAATATAGATCTATATCTATCTATATCCTTACTATATTTACTCGTATATCTTACCTCCTGAGGGCCCGTCATACTTGTCGACCCACTCCTCCAACACGACTGTCTCAAAATCGTCTTCATCGTCGTACAGACGGTCACTTCTGTCGTCACGGCGGGAAAGTTTTGGGATCAACATCGTCCTTGGTTTCCGTGGGACATCTTTCCTTTCCTTCTTCTGCTTTCTGTCTGTGTCAAACATGTACAAACAAGCGTGAATTATCTGAAAACTTCTGCTGAAAGTAGAATTAAAACTGTATGTACCTAACCGGAGGTTGTAGCTTCAAATCGGATCGTTAGCTTGTGATAGCTCCCTGGCAGTTGGAGGGTAAAGAAACTGTTTTGTATCATGAAGACTGAGATTGCCGTTATTCTGGGGAAACTGACATAAAAGGCAGGGATTAATACTAAAAGTCATTAAGAATTAATCAGGTACAGATGAGATATTGAAACCAGACCAACTCACCTTCTTTAAGAATGAACCAAAGCACGGTTACAAGTGTAGCGGCTGTCAGTAGGCTCATCACTACGGGATGATGAAACCCCGTTCTGCCGATCGGCATGTTGGCAGTGTACTGAAGTACAATTTGGCTGAAGATGTGGGAGAATCCAAGTATTCTCTCTGTCAACCAAAACTTTGCAAAAACGCCTGGTAAAACCAGAGTAGAGCTCTGTTTTTGTCGGAGCGGAGACAAATCGTGCTCTCACAACAAAACGACAACTGTTGCTCTGAAGTTTTGTGACGTCACAGTCGCGTGGAAGAACGGCGACTCTCATATTCTTAACCGCGCATGCGCTGACTTTATTAGCTTTTTGGCGGAATTTTCGTCTTCAATTTTTAATAAAAGTACAAACATTTCAAGACCAAATACCTGGTCCGTCACCTTTGATGTTTTTTTTTATCGCAGGATCTAGAAAAAACGTACAGAAATTTAGAATTCGCATATGTGAGGGGTTCTCGAACAACTACTAGTATATGATAGAAAAAGTACCAAAACTTATGATTGTAACACTTTATGAAAGACTTGTGCTAGCCCTTACTGTTTGAATAATGAAGCAATAAAGCTCTTCTATATAATGCATCGCACACAGATATCAGATCGAAATCCATTTTAGATCTCACGATGACGTCATTATTCTCACCTTGAATTCTCACCTTGAAGATCAGCCAGTAGGTACCATCTAGGGTAATGAGGCTGGCCTAGCTTGGCGGTAGTGGCAGTCAGTAGCTAAAGTTGTACTGGAACTGGTCCGGATGATCCTTCCACTCGATCGCCAGTCTTGCTTTAAACTGGTTCACAGTACTTCTGGATACTGTACTCTCTGACAGTCTATTCCAGGCTGGAATCGCTCGTGTGAAGAAGAAGTTTGACCTCTGCCCTTTTGCCAGTTGGACCTGGTACTTGTATTGGTGACCCCTGGTATTTGTGGCACTGCTGCGTGTGAGTGACATTCTGTTGCACAACTTGCACTGGTTTGTACGCACCATGTCTATCCCATGTGTGATTTTGAACAGCTGTATCACATCTGTTCTCTGCCTTCTGTAGTACAGCGTTGGTAGGCCCAGGACTGCTAGCCTTTCCGAATATGAGAGGTGGGCTATACTTGACACTAGCTTTGTCGCTCTTCGCTGTACCCTTTCTAACAGGTCTCTGTCCCTCTTGGTTCTGGGTGACCATACAGCTGTAGCGTACTCCAAGTGTGGGCGGACTAGGCTCTTGTATAGCAACATGAAAGAGTCCTCATCCAGGTACTTAAAGGTGTGTTTGATAGTCCCCAGTACTCTGCTGGCCTTGTTGACCTGGGTTTGTACATGGCTACTGAAACTCAGCTTACTGTCGATTAGTACACCCAGGTCCTTTTCTTCCTCGATGCACTCTATCCTGTGCAGTGTGCCATCTGCTTTTGACATGGTGTATTCATGCCGAGGATTGTTTTTCCCAAGGTGTAGGACCTTGCATTTATCCGGGTGAAATCTCATCTGCATCCGCTCTGACCATTCTTGGAGTTTTCCTAGGTCGGCTTGCAGACACTCACTGTGGGAGTTCTCTTCGCATTCTTGCGCCGCTGCATAAACTTTAGTGTCGTCCGCAAAAAGTGATACAAAGTTTTTTAGCTCTGCGGGGATATCGCTGACAAAGATCATGAATAATAGCGGGCCCAAGACCGACCCTTGCGGAACTCCGCTGGCTACATGCTTAGGGCTGGATGCTTTGCCATTCACCACGACTTGTTGCGTGCGGCGTGTGAGAAATGTTCTTATCCATTTCAAGAGTTTCCCCACAATCCCATGTGACTCAAGTTTCCTTAGCAATCTCTCGTGTGGTACTGTATCAAACGCTTTCGCGTAATCAAGGAATATGACGTCAACAGGTACTTGGTGGCTCAAAGTTTCAGTCCACACATCTAGGGCCTCTAGCAGGTTAGTCACCGTTGACTTGCCTTGGGTAAAGCCGTGCTGTTGTACACAGCTGAGGTCATTTTTCTTGATGTGATCAATTATTGCGTCAGAAATGAGTCTCTCCATCATCTTGCACGGTACCGATGTGAGTGACACTGGTCTGTAGTTAGCTGGGTCCGATTTATCTCCCTTCTTGTAAATCGGGGTGATGCTGGCTTCTGTCCATTGGTCAGGAAGTTCAGCATTGTTAATGCTTAGTTGAAATATTGAGGTCAGTGGTCTAACAATCACATGTGCAAGTTCTCTCAGTATCCTGGGATGCATCCCATCGTTCCCTGGGGATTTATCCGTCCTTAGTGACTTGAGTTGTTTGTACACCAGGTCCTCAGTCACTTCTATGGTTTCCAGAGTTGAGCCTTGGTGGCACTGGAATACTGGAATATTATCCCGGTTCTCATGTGTGAATGTTTTGTAATACTGTTCATTCAGCACCTCTGCTTTTTGTTTGTCAGTTGTTGCAATATTCCCATGTGCATCCCTAAGTTGTCCTACTTGTGATTTGGTTGTTCTTCTGCTGTTCACGTAGCTCCAGAATGCTTTGTTGTTGGTTTTGGCCTCTTTAGCAAGCATTTTCTCAAAGCTTCTGCGTGCATACTTGGTTGCATGAGTGGCCGCGTTTCTCGCTTTCTTGTACGCTTCCCAATCACGCGTGCTCTTGGTGTTGAGATATTTTGTCCATGCATGGTGCTTTTTTTTTGCTTCCGATAGAAGTTTCTGTTCATCCATTTCGGCTTTAGTCTTGTTTTTCCACAGTCAAGTGTTTTTTTTGGAACTATGTTTTTTTACTGCTTTAGTGATGTTAGACTGTAGCTCGTTAAAGGCCTCTGTGTCGACTTGCCTAATAACAGCTGGTCCCAGTCTAAGTCTAGGTCTTCTCCCATCATTTTCGTAGTTGGCTTTGTCGTATTTCAAC